AAAATGGTAGTGTTATGTGAAATTGGAATTTTAAACTCTATCCTGTCTATCTGTTTCTTTGAGATATCGAGGAAGATATCGTATGTCTATTGATGTGAATGGAATTGATGAACCACGCCCACCTAGTATCTGTCTATATCCTCGCACTGAAGGGGTTTCAGATTCATGAAGTTGAGTTGGGTGGATCTGGGAGATGGAAATGATAACAATGCTAAATACCAAAATGCTTCACATGTATCCCCATGCCCAGCAAATATTTCACAATTGCGATACGTAGTATACACGTATCGATGTTTATTGTCTTGAACTATTGGGTATATATCTTCTCTCTCTTGGATAGAATATTGTAGGTAGGTATTGGATTCATTTTGATTTGATTTGATTTGTTTCTGCTTCGGTGAAGAATATTGAATATTGGGATATGGGAACAGGAATGTGAGGGAATTCGATGTAGTGATATGGTTACTGTGGAGTATTTCCCGTCATTGGTTTCATGGTGATGACGATGGAGATCTTCATTTTGATATTGATCTATTTACTTACTCACGTTCTGTACGCTTTCTGATACCTGGAACCCTAGGGTTAGCATGCTTTTGTGTCTGGAAATTAGTCGGGCGGGAATGTGTTCGATGACATGGGATATTAAGTTTGATTGTTTTCTTGAGCTTTAGGGGGTTGATTCCAAGTGTTTATTTTCCTTCTTCTGGGTATTGCGTGAAAGGAAGTTACGGAGAAGCATTCAGGATACTCAGTTTCGATGTAGTATTTTTTTCTTCAATTGTGGATATGGATCTTTGGGGTTGGAATTCTGGGGTAGATGATTGGGTGTGAAGATTTGTATTGTATTGTTTTGTATTGACTTTGGTCTGTCTGGGGGAAGTTGGCTGCTAGGTAGGTATCAATGGAATATCTTAAGTTTGCTTTTATGTAGTGTATTGACTGGAGTGACTGCTTTTGATTACTTTTTCTATGTATACATAAACTCTGTGAGATTTGAATCCAAAGCAATGGTTGAGAGTACTTTTCATGTGAAATGATTCGCAGACTTTATGGTAAGGATACCTTTGATTGTAACTTTCTGATCTAGTGATCGGTTCTTGATCTCAATAGTGTTGAGAGATGATTCTTCTGTACCGCCATTGGTGTTGGTGCTGCGTTTTGAGGTATGAAAATCCGAGAGTTGAGGGTTGACTTTTCGCTTGATTTATCATTGTCGGTGTCATTATCCTCGTCAGCGTCCATAGAATGTAAGTTCTTCATTTCGCAATTCTATTTTGACTTGTAGATACATATCGTTAACATGAAATTTGTTTCGGAAGGGATATTCATGAGCTGTTTTTCTTTCTTAAGAAAGATGACCTGCGTAATCGATTGTAGGTATCTGGGTAGCATCGTTGAAGAAGTTGGTTGATGAGTCTCGGATAGGGGAAAAAGGGGGGTTTACTATGAGTCGATTCTTTGTGTCAGTTGATCGATTCGGAAAACTGACTAGATCATACGATGGATTGGTATTTGATGGATGATTCACAAAGAGGTATTCTTCAAGATTTATAATGTCGAAAATTCGGAGGACGTATCATCTCGAATTGACGAATTATTGCCGAGTTTCGAGTTGATAGGAATCAATCATGGGTTCATAAGTACCGTCCCAGGAATGGCGAGCTGCAGCACCTTGTGGACAAGACTGAGTGATTGTGCACTTGGATCTGATGGTGTGTGTACAAGGAAGCCGCACAAAACTACCGTTGCTGCTCCTAAGGGTAAGTTGATCCCGAAACACCATCTCCATGTAGTCGATTGAAGTATAGCAGCTCCTAGGAACGGTCAAATGATAGCTGCCAATCCAAACGCAGCGCACATGATACCCAAGTACGCAGCACGCTGGGCCAGCGGAATTACTTTGGTAGTAATCAACACACTTCCCGAAAAAACTCCCGCGGCACCCAGTCCAGCGATTGCTCGGCCGACAATCAGGGTTAGGAGGAATGTGCTGTTGTGTAAATCAGAGATCCAATCTCGAAGATGACAATAGCAACAAGGTAAACATTTTTGATGGGAAAATGACTGTAAAGTTTACCATAGAAGAGTTGAAAGGCGCTCAATGTCAGAAGATAGGTATTAGCTTACCATCTAATGTTTTGTGAGGTGTTAGGGCTAGTTTGAAAATCAATTCTGGTTAGAATCCACCGAATAATCTGCTCTTTTTTTGTCATAGCGGATTCCGCGGTGATACGTTTTGAATCAAAAAAGGTGGATTTTTGTTTTTTGTTTTTCTATTTATATATCAGTTTTAAGGGCCTGTTCGATAGTCAAATTAATTCTAATATACATAATATTTGAAGGGTAGTATCTTAAATATTTTGACTTTTGTGTTTAATATATAATATTCAAAAACTACTAGTTAAATATTAGTATTATTTATCATATAAAATTTTCATATACTATATATTAAAAAAGAGAACCATTTCATATATTATATACTAGTATTTGTAATATTTTTAATGATAATCTTTGAATAATAATAATCAAATATAATACTAAGAAGACTCTAATCTTAATAAGAATATTAATCTCAATAATATGTTACGGGAGCTGCCTCTAGGGTCACGTGGAAGTGTCTAGAGTTCTCTCGAGGTGGTTTAGACTAAACTTCAAGTAGGAATTCAATAAGGTTGGTAACTGGTTGCAATTCTCGTAACTATAGTAATGAAACTAATGATTGTTCTTGAGCACGAAGCTCTACATTGTAATGAAACCCATTCCCTTATATAGACCTTCGTACTTTGATCGAATCGTCAAGTCTACTCGACTACTCGAGTCGACAAGTCGAATCGACTTTCCTTCACGTGACACTTGTCCTCGTGACCTGGTAAGGCTACCGCTTATTTAACCTGTGCTTACTAGCTAATCTGTAACCGTTGTGCAACCTGTGCCTACTGTGGGGTAGGTGCCAATAAAAGATAGGTACCTATCTTTTAATCACTGCTTATTTATTCGGTTACCGCTATCTTTAGTTACCCTTTAATTCAACTGTCCCTACAGTGCTGTTTTCGTAGGTCCCAACACCAAGGCCTTAGGTTTATCTTATAATCCATGTTGCGGTGCGGGTACCTCCGTAACATAATAATATCTAATTGAATTATTATAGTCAACTTATCTTTTCTTATAGAATTCATTAATAATAATTGAATAATTATAACTAATCCTCCTCCTCTTACCTCTTATAAATAATTCTAGATTGAATTTGATACTAAATATAAGTAATTAATACTCATTGATTTTTATTTATTTAAATATTTTCATTATAACAAAATATTAATTTCTATTTTAAACTTTATTTACAATATAGATACTAATTATTAATATCTTTAAATGATATACTTAAATTATTATATATATTAAAAATGATTTTTATCATACATACTACTATTTTAAACACTACCTTTCATATACTACCAACTACCGATAATATATTATATATTATCGATCAACTTTTATTTTAACTACTAAACACCACTTAATACAAAATCTGTAGAAACAAGAGAAAGTAAAGTATATATATACTTTTAGATAAAGAAAATTCGAATTTTCAGTATATAAATATTCTAAGTTTATTACTACTATTTAAATAGTTAAATATATAACGAATAATACATGACATTATGATTACTCATTACATATACCTTAGTTTCAGACTAGCTTGAACTAAGCGATTGTTACTATATAAGAGATAAAGAGATTCCTTAAGAATCTCTTCTCTCTTTAGCTTTCTTATTCTAGTTGTTTTACCTCTATCGATATCCTCTAGTATGTAATCATAACAAAATAAGCGAATATAGGAATAGCTTCAATTCGATTAAAATAAATATAGAAACAGTACTTTATTTAATTGAAATTAAATTCTAAACTTCAATTCAAAAAGAGTTCAGAGCTTTGGACTATATACTCTATAATTTTAGATTATATTTAATAAAGTTTTAGATTATAAGACTCTATAAAGTTTATAAATTTACGGATTTTTTAATTAATTGAAAACAATAATTATTTTTTCTAATTATTATTCTTAATTTATATTTTCTATTTTGTTTATATAAATTAATAAAAAATATAATAAATATGTAAATTGAATTTAAGATTTTAAGAAATTTATTAAATATTCTATTAATTTATAAAAAATCATACAAAATCTAATATTTCAAGTTATTTTTTATTTAAATAAAAATACAGAATCTATTGTTAAAATGAGCAAATTATATGATGGAATCTGACAGGATTTATACATTCAAACTAGCCTTTAAACTTGACGCTGATGACGGGAGTCGCTGTAGCTAAGATAGTTTAATCCTGTATTAAGAGCGAAAAGTTAGCTTCCAAACTTTCACAAGGTAAAAGGCTGCTTGGAATTTGTGTGGTTGCCGTGCCTGTGAGTAAAACTACTAGACAGATGCCGATCATAAGAAGGGTTAAGCGAGTACGATTTGGCTTGATGATAGCATCATCAGACCGGTCCATAGTCAAACTTTTCTTCGGGAGGTGGGATGATGTGAGTAGAGTGTTGAATTTCAAGGAACAATAAAGTTATAGAATCTAGCAAGAAGCTATGGTGGAATAGCATTCAAGAAATGAATGAATTTCTCATGGAGTCTCCTACAGACTGATTTTGGCCTTTCAATCAAATGATGCAAGCTACTGACTGCGCTTTTTACTCGGTGACACACTAACCTGAGAAATTGCGGCGCAATATATTAATATGTTGTTACCAACTGGAATATAACCGATTGGTCATTTTGATAGCCAGCCGGTCGAATAGCAGAAAGCAATGCCTTTTCAGAATAGCCAACTCGGCCGTGACTTGCAGCTCACTATGTTATAGTGAATTTCAATGTGTGTTATGCATAATCTCAGATCTCCCTTTCCGTTCATCTTTCCTATATAGTTATCCAGTTCCACCATCAATAATAAATAGTCATACTCGTCACTTCAATAGCATAACCATCTTCATGGATTTCATTGACGTTGCCATTATCGGAGGAGGTCCAGCTGGACTTCCCGCTGCCGGTGCTCTCGCTCGCCAACTCTACACTGCCGTGGTCTTTGACACTCAGACTTACCGTAATAAAAACTCGGCTCATATGCACATGGTTCCTACCTGAGATCAAAGAGATCCCAAGGACTTTCGAGCCGCAACCAAAGACAACATTTTGGCGCGCTATTCTACTATTCAATTTTTTGACATGGGTGTCACGAGGGTCGAGAAGAAAACAGACTCTCACTTCATCCTCGTCGATGCAAATGCAAAGGAATGGAACTTTCGAAAAATCATCCTAGCTGTGGGTATGAATGATACTTTTCCCGAAACCGAGGGCTACGCTGAGCTTTGGACAAGGAGAATGCAAGTCAATATGGTTCATCTATGAGAGCCTGAAGGTATCATATAACACTAGTCTTGTTACTGATGATCTATATTTGTATTTGTATAGTTCCCACTGTCTTTTCTGCTTCGGCTATGAAGACCACGGCGCGAAATCTACAGGCGTTCTCGTTCTTCTTCCCCTCAATTCCATGACTGGTATCCACATGATCATAGCCGCCAAAGCCGCGCAGCTTAGCGAAGAAGTCACTCTATACACGCACGGCGATGAATAAATAGCCGCACAGCTTTTAGTCCACTCATCAAAACACCATTCAAGATCGACACACGCAAGATTCAAAGACTCGTTGATAATGGCGGTTCTTCGGTCATAATACATTTCTCAGATGGTTCGGAGAAAGAAGAAGCATTCTTGGTTCATAACCCGAAGACTACAGTTCAAGGCTCGTTTATTAAACAGCTGGGTCTGGATCTTAGTCCTGCGGGAGATTTTCTGGCGCCCCCACCATTTCATCAAACTAGTGTGAGGGGTGTCTTTGCGGCGGGAGATTGTATCACGCCATAAAAGGCTACCCCAGCTGCGATTGCTAGTGGTTGTAATTCGGCAGTGGCGTTGACAGCGTAGTTGCAGGCTGAGAAGCATGGATTTTCCTCCATTGTTTTAAGAGGTGTGAGAACGAAATACTTGGGATGCATGTTTGTGGGTGGGATGTTCCTATGAGGTTGGTTTACGTATGATTTAGTTAAATGATTCAACGTTTTTGCTTTTGAATAATTTGGAAGTTGTGTTGCAAGTGTTGCAAGTGTTTGGATATTTTAGGTGAAAATTTTGTTGGGAGGAATCTCTCATATATCTTTACATTCTGATATTTCAAATCCTTTTTTACACCTTGCTTGAATAGAAATTAAACAAGGTACCCATCTATCTATCTATTCTAATTCACCGAATTACTTCACATTATATTGAACTATATTGAACTATATTGAACTATATCATATCATGTATCTATCTACCCCCTATACCTCTCCACCCATAAAACCCAGAAAACCAAATCTAACATAATAAACCATTCAATCGTCCCACAGATTCCCCATCCCACAGATTCCCCATCCCACTTGACACCTCCCCCAAACTCAATTTCCTTAACGGTTCCACGCGTGCCCACTCCATATCCCCCCATAGTTGCGCAGTCTCTCCCTCATTCCCATTCTTCGTAGTCCTAACATTCGGTCTCCCAAACAATCTTCTTTTGAAGGGGCGAGGTCCGAGGGGTGCCGATTTATAGAGAGTTTCTGGTTCGTCAATTTCTGGGGTTTTGTCTGCTTGTTTTGGATTTCTAGGTTCCGTCGGTTTGGCTTTTACTTTATCTTTCGTCTTCTCTTTTTCTTTCTCAATAACTTTACCTTTCGGTCGTAATCTCAACGGTCTCACCCCCTGTGGCTTTTTCTGAACAATAGTTTCCTCTTCTTGATTTTTCTCCATTTCAGGAGTCGAAGGAACACTTTCGATAAACGCACCGGGGATCTTCATCTCTCGACTAATAGGTCGTTCTTTTTTCGGTCCGGGCTTGGAGTACTCGATGAATGCGCCGGGAACTCGCACTTCTGTGCTGCGTTTTTTAATTACGATTGCGGTGTTGGGCGATTTGTGGGATGTCTGCGTGGGTTTTTGGCCTTTGAAATTCTTTTTGGGGGTGAGAGGCTTGGGTTTGTTGGTCGTGGATGGGGATACGGGCTTGGGATTATGATCGTGATTTTGATCAAGGGGCCCTCGTGTGATATTAGGAAATACATCTCGAATATTCGCTGTGGATTTTTGCGGTTCGAAACTTCCGCCTCAAATGGGTAGAGAATCTTTCCATAATTTTAATGATGGTCTAGGTTCTGTAGACTTATGTTTTGAAGTATATTTTATAGCGGGGTTTTTAGATGTATGGGGAGGGATTTCTTTGCTTGAAGGTAGTGGCTTTCGTTCGATTTTGAAACTTCCACCTCGTATTGGGAGAGCATCTTTCCACGATCTGGGCGAGCGATTGAGCATTTTGTCGCTTTCGATAGGTTTTCTCTTGAGCGGTGCAATATGCCCAGGAGGTGGTTGTATATAGTCTTTCGTAAATGCTCCTGGCATTCTGGACGGAGCAGGAACCGATGGTCTTCTTATCATCATTTCGTTTAGAATTGCAATTGGTAACGGTTGAGTAATGGGAGGTTTCCGGGGAGATATTCGATCCAGTGATGAAGCAACGGTGGTTGGAACTAAAGCCACATCGGGCTTGATGGCTATTTCTGGAGACTCGGCCGTTCTGCTCATTTGTTAGTATGCCTGGTTTTCAGGGAAAAGTGAATACATACCGCATAGTGGATAATGGAGATCGCATTGAAGCGTCGATTATACTACCACTCGGCGTTACGTTCCTTTGTCTTCCTATTCTCTGCGATACAAAGTTGCTGGGAGGTTTCGACGTTGGGTGCGCGCAAGTGCCGCACGTGGTACGCCCGGAATTGGGGCTTGATGGGACACCCAAAGATATCGCTGAATCAGATTGGGTTACGCACTTCTCGTTATCGTTCAATTCCGTTGCAGTACTAATGTTTGTGCTCGTGTCTCTTGTGAGATATGACCAGCTGATTCCCCAGCCTTTGCCTTTTTCCTTTTCTTTCTCCTTTTCTTTTTCTTGAGATAATGCAGGCGCAAGTAAAGGCGTAGAGATAGGTTCAGAAATAGGTGTATATCGCGGTCTTAATGGCACAATCCTTTCTCTTTCCTCAGGAAATTCCCCCGGCATAGAACTCACACTTACTTGGGACTCAAATTTCAGTAGTCCCTCTTCTGCAGCTATTTCAATAGGCACAGGCTTCCTTTTAATATTCGTCTCTCTAGTAATTCGCTCCTTCGCTAATGCAAGCGAGTAATTTTTCTCCCACTCTTCTCTCTCATTTCCCATAAACAGATAATCGTCAGGAAGTGATGGTATGGAATCAGCACTTGCTGACGCACTTGCCAATCGTGACTGCAAAATATTGGCGGCAGAGGGATTGAGTGAAGTGAGATTGCTATCTACGAGATCGTCGCCGAAGGAAGATACGCGACAGTTTATTTCTCCGTCTTGAAGAATGTTGGTACGGCCGGGAAGTTGGAAGGGATATTGACAGGCTTCGAGGGCGGTGAGGATGATTCCTATCGCTACACTGGAGTCATAAGATATTAGCTTAGTCCAACGATAATTTTCTTATTGTGCAATATTTCATGATATCAGTCACACCATAGCATGCACCAAAAAGAAAGCAAACTCACAACCCAACACAACTCAAAACCAATCCTCCAATCTGCACCTTACAATCTGTCGTTCCTGGAACACACACTTTCGATTTCGATACAACGACGCTCGATACGATAATCGATAACATCCACGAAACAAGCGTAACGCGCGCAGCTATAAAACTATACGCGTGCAGTTTCAACTCTGGAGGACGCACGAAACCGATGGGATGGTTTTTGATAATGGCGGAAAAATGGAGGAGGAGATAGATGAGGGTGAGTGAGGACTGGGATGCGTTAGTTCTTACAGTCTTGTGAATATGAAAAGCCCTTGCAGCGAGATTCTCTCTCGTGGAATTACAGAGAAAAGTAACAAGAAAACACAACTCACCCCAGCAACCACACATCCCGTCCCAACTCTCAACACAAGCGCACGCGCATGCCCACCCCCAAATATCTTAACCGTCAACAAAATACCCGTCACGACGCACAGCAGCAGAATGACCAATGTCACACATATGATAAGCGGTGTTAAAATACGTTGAGTGAGCGAGATTCGTGGGGTAAGAGATGGTGTAAGGTGTGGGAGATGTATGATAGGGATTTGACCGCGAGGTGCGAGCACGGGGTAGGGCTTTTTGGTCATGGTGGTGTGAAACGTTGCCGGGGAACGGGTTGCGATTTGGATGGGGATGAGTGGTTATGTCATCTGTAGTAGGATCTTATCAACAGGCATGCGATTTCAACCAGGAGAATAAACTAATAGAGGACAATGAGGAGAAAGAGGCAACAGTGATGCTACTACTGATGGTGATGATAAAAGTATCTTTAAACGTTCAGGTTATCTATAGCTTTGTATATCTATATATCCAGTAGCATCCAAACGCAAGTATCCCAATGCATCACAAGAACTCTCAATCATCAATCGCTCAACCATCATGACGATTTTTCAAATCCTATCCTTCCGCTCCTGGAAATCAAAAATAAGATAGTAATCACGTTTTTCACGTTTTTCGCCGCATCAGGTGGAAATATCCTACAGAGAGCATAGGGAAAGTGGCTGGGTGAATATCTTACTTATGACGGTGAGGTCAAGAAAAAAAAAGGAAGGCGGGAAGTTTTACTCTTTTTGAAGATGAGGAGGAATGTTTTATTTTTCGGCAATTGCTTTATTTACTTAGGACACCAATAGATTTTTTAATAAATGCATTCCTACTCGTGGCGTTGGGGCTCGGAAGTTGAGCTTACATTCCTAAGGGGTTGGGTGTGGTTAAGCGAGGCGGAAGGAATTTGGATAGCTTGCCGATATCGGGTGGTATGGATCTGTAGTTGTGGCTTACGCTTTTTTTTCCTTGCTGGATTTGTATGATCCTAGAAATAACAATTAGTTTCTTGTCTTGTCAGAAATAGAATATGCTATGAGATGAGTGTTTTCGGGAAGAAAGATGGAAAAAGATGATACGAAGTCAATTATACATTGGGTTTTACTTGGATGTATTACATCACTTGTCTGAAAATTGGGATATTCAGATTTAGATGGCAATTTCAAAGCTACGGTGATGTTTTATTATGTATGATCTATCTATATGTAGGGTATGGTATGCTAATGTCATAATGGTACTGGATTTCTGGAAGAATCGGAGATGTGTAGACGCATATATGTGTAGTGTTTTGATTATCTTGACTCATTCTAAGCCCTTATAGTGAATGAAGAATTCCGTACAAACTAGGTACTGAAGGGCGAAACAAATGAAGTATTTAATGTCAATTAATTTGTCGAATCGATGTAATGCGTTGAGAGTGAAATCCATCTCTACGTGTTCAAATTCGCAACTGATAAATCACACGGTAAAGAAAGACAATGATAAGGGAAGAAAGAAATAGAGTATATGAACAAATATTAACGGAGAAGAGAAGAGAAGAGAAGAGAAGAGAAGAGAAGAGAAGAGAAGAGAAGAGAGAAAAACCTGAGCAAGAAGGAATTCTGGAAATCCATAAAAGTCGTTTCTTGGGTCACACTCAAACAGAGTATGTGTACTCCCACGATCTCCCCAACCATGAATGAATTGCCTAAATAGTTTCGGTAACATCACTTTAAATTTCTTGGCATACAATAAATCAAATCATCGCCTGATGCCGTAGCCAGACATGCAGGAAATTTATACAGCAAATCTCAACCCTTGAATCTCCACGTCTCCGCCTTGGCTCTGAAATCTCCTACATACTCACTCCAGCACCAGCACCTCACCTCAACGGATATAACCCACGCTTCACACCAGTATCAGATACCTTGAGTTCAGATCCTAACTGTCCAAGAAACAAATTTCATATTCAGAACTTCAAATATCCCCGAGTTCTTGTTTCAACGCCATGAGATGAGTTTCCAAGTCCTCCGTAACGAAAGTATAAGGACTAGTTTGAACATCAATTCCGATCAGAATCCACTATATTTTCTGCCTTTTTTTGCTATAGCGGATTTCACAATAGCAGTTTTCGGCCCGAAAACGATAATTACTTTTTCTAGTTATCGTTTTCGATTAATGTTTTCTATTTTATTATATAAATTAATGAAAAAACATAGATTGAAATGTAAATTCAATTAAAGATTTTAGGAAACCTTTAAAATAATTCATTGATTTATAAAAAATTATATCAAATCTATCATTTTAAATTATTTTATTCTCAAATAGAAACTAGGAATTTATTATTAAAAGGAGTAAATTATTCGATGAAATCTAATTAAATTTATAAGAGTTCTAGCTCCTGCTCATTATATATCGTAACGTTTTATAATAGAATTCCTATAAACAAACGAGTTTTTCTATATGAACTAAAATACTTAATAACTTTCTTTTGATATTATAATTTATAAATGAAAGTTTACAGATAGAAAGAATAATATATTATTTATCTGGAAAAAAAATTAGTTGACATTTTATATAAGATTAAAATTTGAAAGTTCGAAATTTTCTACCCGTAACGTTTTTTCCATACAAAATAAGCGAATTTCATATAAAATTTTACATTTTTAACTTCAATCTTCTATAACTTGTTGAAAGAAATCGATAAAAATAAAATCTCTATTTTTAAATAATATTTCATTGATTTGAAATCAATATTTAACATTTTAAGATTTTGTTTTCATCTAATCAACAATAAAACAGGGATATTAAAAAAAAGAAATAGCGTTTTTCGATGGAAAAGCGTTACATATGCGGTGAGCAGGGGCGAGAACTCTTACAATCAAATTAGCCCTAAAGAGATGGAATTTTTTTTGTTTCGTACATACGTGAATACGAGAAGATAATAAGTCGGGTATCTCACTTTTGGGCCACCCTTTTTTTAAACCATCTTAAAAATTTATATTATATAACATTAAAACATTAATTATTTAACAATTATTCAGTATTATAATAAATATTTGGGGATATACTTTTATTATCATTATTAGTATCTTCTATATTAATTTCATAGTTTCCTGTTTTAATTTGTATCTTCTTAATCTTTTTAATTTTAGAAAACTTCAAATTTGGATTGATTTTTATTTTACATTTTTTTTTAAGAATAACTTGCTTCAATTAATACTTTAATTATTTTATTCAATATTTAGATTGTAGAATTTCATAATCCTTAATATCGAATCCCTTAGTAATTTTTCTAAAAAGCTAGTGGCAAGTATAAAGATCGATCTTTTTGTTTTAAAGAAATATATATATATATAATTTTAAATCACTAGCTTTTTGAAGCGTTTTAGAAATTGAAATTACAAACTTTTTATTTTATTGATATATAAAATCATTATCAGAAAGTAAATTCTAATTTGTAACTTTTTTATTACTATTTTTAAGTAATAATCTAAATATAATAGATTTAATATAATTTAAAGACTATAAACCTGAAGCTTTTTATTCAATTAGTATATTATACTTTATTAAATTATTTAATTATGCTTTTTAATAGTATATAAGGAAATTAGTTTTTTCAACTACTTTAGAATTCGATAAAAAGGTTAATTTATTAAAGTAATATTTATATACTCTTTTAAAAGATAAGAAAATAAATAAATCAAAAGGCTATAGAATATGTAATATATATAATAAAAAGAATAAAAGGTGTATATTATACTTAAAATATTTATATATAAATTCAATAATTTTATAACTTTTATATCTATTTAATATAAGAAGTTTCGATTTATTTAATAAAAAGGAAGCTATTTAAAATATAAAGATCTTTTTAAGCTATTCTAAAATAATATTATTTATAATCCATTTATTATTTGTAATAATGAAATACTACTTTTTATAGAGTTTCAAATCAATTGGAAATTATTATTGTTGTACTGATTTTCTCTTCAATATAATAAGGGGATTAAAAGTGTTACGGGAGCTGCCTCTAGGGTCACGTGGAAGTGTCTAGAGATCTCTCGAGGTGGTTTAGACTAGACTTCAAGTAGGAATTCAATAAGGTTGTAACTGGTTGCAATTCTCGTAACTATAGTAATGAAACTAATGATTGTTCTTGAGCACGAAGCTCTACATTATAATGAAACTCATTCCCTTATATAGATCTTCGTACCTCATGAATCGACAAGTCGATTACCGTAAAGCCGATTTCGACAAGTCGGTTTCCTGATCACGTGATGTCCATCCCGTGATCTATAATGATGCTACCGCTTATCTAACCTGTGCTCTCTAGCCGATTGTCCCTACAGCGCTGTTTCCGTAGGTCCCAACACCAAGGCCTTAGGTTTATCTTATAATCCATGTTGCGGTGCGGGTACCTCCGTAACAAAAAGCTTTTCTTATAGTTAAAATATATTCTATAAATGATATCTAAGCTTTAAAACCAAACTCTTTTTTCTGAATAAAATGATATTCTAAGCTTCCTAGAATTAGTTCATTTAATCCCTGGTCTTTTTATATACCTATTTCATTTATATTATAGTGGTATTAAGATTTAATATAATAAATTGAGGGTAAATTTAATTTTAAAAACTATTAATTAATAATATCAATAATTGTATTTTTGATATATGCTAAATCGATTTTAATTTGTTTTTTAATTTCTAATCTTTAAATTCCTTTGAAGAAAGTTTTGTACTTATTATTTCTTAAGTATAAAATTATTTCCTTTAATATTAAGAAGGTACTCCTTAATTTTATGAATTTATTGATATATAAGATTAATATTTAAAAACTTTTAAACTAATATTCAATTTGTTAATTATTTCTTTTATATTAGGGCTATCTTTTATATATATTGTATACCTTTATTATGAGATAGATAATTATTTATATAGTTTTGAAGAATAACTCTTAGAATCCTATAATTCAAAGTAGCTTATTGAATTGAACACTTATTCATTACCATATATAAAGTCAAATTAATATTAACTTTGATATATATTTTAGGCATAATATAAATAATAATATATTAAAATTTTAAATTAATTGATTCAAGAGTTATAAAGTTATTAAAGATTTAAAATAGAAGGTTGTTTTCTATAGTAAGTTTTTTTGAGGTGGTTTAAAAAAGGGGTGGCCCGAAAGTGGGGTACTCGACTTAGTGTTTACAAGGAAGATGAAGTTTCGACAGTTTGATGATTTCATTTGAAGCTGATATCTGTTGCACGCTCCTTCGGCATATTCCTCAGTACTCACGAACTTAAGAGCATCTCGATAAACGCTCCTACCAAGAGCCACTAAGCCCAACTTGTATAGTCATACTGTGCTTGCAAAGGTTAACACAACAAGGGCATACTTTTTTAAAATTGCCCGAAGAATCACGACAGTTGAAAAGCTTGGAGATATCGACAGAAGACGCTTCACGTTGCAATTTCATTGCACATCCTCTATCATTCGTATTTTCAAGAGAAAGTCAAAAATCTGTTTAAACGCGTGATGATAGGCATTGTGTTGTAAAGTGCCAAAGCCTTGCCAAGTAAGAGAAGTCCTCCATATCATGGCTAGATGGGATGGATCATCTTTTGGGTTGAGCGCAATGGGAACAGTGCGGCTTCATTCTTAGAGCACAGCCATCCAGGTCTCTAGGTCCCCCATCTAAAAGGGTTTAGAAACTCTAAATTCTCTCAAATTTTTCCAAATTGGGAATTAAGCTCTTAATTTAACTTTCAAAGACACTACTACCGGTAGTTATATGTTCTACCATTAAATTTGTATTCTTAGCAAATTCTCTTACAGGGATGAGCACGTCAAATAATTTTCTATGTGATTCAAATGATTAATCCCGAACTTGTTTATCTCATTACGAAGAATAAGTATACTAAAGTAGTCAAAATCGAAACTCTTTTAGAAATAGTATTATTTTGAAATTATATAGTAATATATGAAATTATAATAGATCTAGTAAGGTTGTACTGAATTATAGATTATAAGCTTGTTGATATTTAAGCTTAACTAATGATTAAAAGTATTAATAGATTAATATAATTAATATAGTTTATTACGAAGCAGTTAATATTACTAAATAAATCACTTTCATCTTAAATTACTACTTTTGATTTTAAAATATATTTTATTAATCATTTATTATATAATCTAATAAGCTAGTCGTCGGGGAAAAAGAATTTTCAGACTACGAATTCGTAAAATATCTGTTTTCTTATTAATTATTATATAATTTTATAATCCTACGAATTCGTAGACTTCGAATTCTTCTCAATAGTAGAATAGTAGAATAGTAATAAATAAAAATAAAAATAAAAATAATTTACATAATGATATAAATTACTTAATAATTATTACACTATATTATATTATCTTTTAATGTACGAAGATTGTAAGAGTGATTAATATAAAACCTACTTTTCGTAGAATCTTACTGTTTTTATAGATTTTACTACTTCTATAAATCATTCGAATAGATATTAAGCTGTTCCTCTTAAAATTCAATATTTAAAGCTTTTACTTACGTGTAAAAGCTCAACTTTAATAGTTTTGAATTTAAAGTATTTAAAGCGTTTAATAGATTCTAAATAGATTATAGATAAGATTTCAAATCAAAATTCAATGAAAGATTAGTAATTTCGCATAAAATATAAATAAAATGTGACTTTTATAATACTTCTACTATCTAGAGTTCACTAAATAAATTTTCAGCCAGCGATGCAATTTGATTTGATCAAAGGCCTAAAGTGGGGACACATTTAGGTGCATTTTACAATACTTACCCTTCCAACCTCCTTCTCTTCGTTCACGACGAGCTAAGAGCTTTTAGGCCCAAGCCAACCTTGAATTACATCCCACGTTTCGGAGCTATCCTTCTTAGCGGTAGCTTATAAGTTAATAAGCTTGGTTAAGCTAGACCGCCGTCGCTCGTCAAACGCTCTAGGCGCAGCGAACCATTAAACACCACAAAATTCCAAGCCGCCAACAAAAGATTGCAAATGAAGAAACTATGCGATGCCATCAAACTGTCCAAAGAAGGCATGTTCTGCATAGTTGTCCAAGCTCTAGCTAAAGTGGATCTTCTCTTAGTTTTGCCCAAACTACTCCCCTCCTCTGGAAAATCACGTGATTGCTATGGGAAAATGGCTCGGCCATTGAGTTATCGTGAAACCACTTTCGCGACAAAAATAACTTTCCGCTCCTCTGTGGAAGTTCCACCCCCAAAATTCGCGAGCATTGCCGCCAAGATACATACCAATCTCTTTCTCTTCCAAAGTCTTCATTTTACTGCGCCCCAGCAATCTTTAAAGTGATAATAAACTTTTACTGTGTTTGCACGATGCCTGATTTTCACTGCCAAGGAGGAGAAGATGCTATCTTGCCATAGAATTAAAGTTTTTGGACTCTTTGGTACAGTATCAAGGTGATTGAATGGGTGCGGTGAGATGAGATTGCCCCGAACTATTGGGTGTTCAACATGGACAGATAAGACGAACTAGATGGATGAGGATGAAAGTTATATGAGGATTGAAGAGTATATAACCTCTCTCGATTTCCCTCAAATTCGAATTATCATCATCATCAACACATTCATTCTACACACACTCTTTAAACAAACCAAACACATTCATTTACCATTCGTTTTCGAATCCATTCACTCTTTTTTTAAGAAAAATCACTTTCTCACTACTATCAAAATGAAGTTCTCAGCTATCACTCTTCTTGCTTGCGCAGCCATTGCACAATCTGCCGCTCTCCCAGAGACAGTTACAACTTCAGCCGATGCCCCAATTTCCACCGCTCTCAACAGTGTTATTCCTGATTTTATCGAATTCGACTTTAGTGGAAAATTTGATGCTTCCGGATCATTGGTTGCACAGGTGGATGATGAACCCACACAAGCTCTTCAAAAGCGTGTTGGAGCACTTGTAAAAGTGATTGGAATGGCTACTATAAAGGGTATTCAGCTTTTGACCGAGATGGCTATTGAGCATGGTGGCGACACTATTAAAAACCTTGGAGAGTGGAACCAAGTAAGTTGCTCTACAAACATTGCATCCTCGAAGAGATTTTCACATATGAAATGATACTAACAACATTTTCCAGGCCCGTGAGGAATTCTCAAAAGCAACCACTGCCGACATGTGGGCTAGAAACCCAGATTACAGGAGATACCCCGCTGTTATCTGCTACAACAAGGGATATAGTGTCAAGAACCCTGCTGGAATTGTCGGAAAAGTCAGTGCCAAGCTTTCTCTTGGTTTTCTCAATACAGATTATGACTGCATGTATATGACTGGAAACAACCAATTCTATACTCATGCTGAAGGTGGATACATCAATGTAAGAAACTTTCTACATCTGATAGAAAATAACACTAACACCTCGCTAGCTTTCCTACAAATACAACAACCGCTGTAGTCATGACAGAAATACTGGCGATTTGACCTGCAACTAGAGAGCTTGGAAGCATCTAGTTTTCGATACAACAGTTCGAAAAGTCTCAGTCAAGAGTTGGCTCCATCGTGGACCTGCCATCAGATGTGTGCGCTAGGTGGCCACCTAGTTCCTTATCTTTTTTTCATATCTCTGTTATCATTGGGTGTTTGCATCGTTCAGTTTATGTTTCCCTTTTTGTTTTTTGTTTTAATTTTAGTGCCTAGTTAGTTAGTTAGTCAAATTGAGCTCTTTTTCAAAATCTACGGGTCTACCTTTGATTTGATATACACGATGACTTTTTGGCGGGTTGACATACTATAGAAATTTTTCCATTAAGTAGCTAGCTCGCTAGAACTACGGCGACGAAGATATCAAAAGGTCTTTGCTTCTAACGAAAAAGCTCCGTGAAGTAATATCGCCACCGAGAGAACTACCAGTTTTTCTTGCAGTCAAGCTCATACACCATTTGCATGCTGGGTTCTGGGAATTCTAACAAACAATTAGAGTGGTCATCAAGCCTATCAGTATTGCTTTAGCGCTAATCATATCCAGCTTAGGAAACTCGGCTGAGCTGCAGCACTACACACCACTAAGGCTTGGGTATGTAAGCAAACACATGATCTTGGGAGTCTAACCATTGGCGCATTTTAGAAGTTCATGCACCTCACCATAATAACACTGTCTTGTTTAATATCAGCAAATAGCGAAAGTTTCAATATGCATCATGGTGGCCATCCAAGCACGACGTCGAAATGACGGAGGGTCTATCTCAATTACTTGCCATGCATCTCAGCCCTTGGGACCTTACACTTACGAGCCATTGGACTCGGATTCAGATAGTATCTTTCCGGCTTCTAACGTTAGAGCCAGCTCTGAATCAGAATGATACGCTGTCATGCAAAATGATCAGTAGCAAATTTGGCGAGAAGCCTAGGTTCGGAGCACTGTCATACATGTGGGGAGATGGCACTGCAACAAAACAATTATGCTCAATGGAGCTGAGCTCTACGTTCGGCAAAATTGTTGGAATGCTCTCCATTGTTTTCGCAAATCGGGAATGCAGTCGCAGTTCTGTGTCGATGCGATTTGCAACAATCAAACCGATATTCCTGAACGTAATAAGCAAATGATGATAATGATCGGATCGGAGCAAACTTGAGGCCCCCTGAACAAGCCCTAACATCGAACTGTTCGCAATCTGTTCCAACCCTCTGCATTGAAGATGCAAAGAAACAGTGATTCCAAAGTATTTGGACTCGGGGTTCATGTCGTCGGATGCATGGTGGCTGAGGGTCCTTCCTCTCTGGAAATAGTTTCGAATCTGCAAAAGGCCGATCAATGGGACTCTAGATTTTTGCACAGTTTCTCAAAAGAGCTCGGTAAAGCCCATCGCGAGAACGATGAACTGATGCACTATGTCTAGAGTCAAACAATCCCGAACTAGAACCAATTGCTTTCAGTCACATGAGTAGTGTCTTTTGGGAACACCCGTGTAGGGATTACAGAGCTCCAGATTATATTTACGGGTACAAGATCAAATAACTGCAAGCCAAATCGTGTTACATTGCAAGATAACTCAACAACGGCTCCTAGCTCAAATCTATTTCTGGTCAAGAACTACTACCACAGAGAAACACTCTGGAAAATGGGAATTGCGACAAGCTTGGCCCGACCGCGAGACCTGGTTTATTGGATCAGCGTGATCTCGAGAACTCTTCTACTGCATGAAATTGAAAACTCGGGACACAGCAAAGTTTGACAAGTACTCGACACGGCGTTGTTCACACCGCATCTTGATTCGGACGACACAACGCGCCATGCGACCGATTGGACTTCGTTCGACGAGGAGACAATGGAATTAGAGATGGACCCAGCGACAGTTTATGTTCTCTTGTCCTAGATAGTAAGCAAACAGAGAGCATCGTCAATGGAAGTGTCCCAACGAAGGTTTCCTGATGAGCTGTGTCGATCAGGATGTTTTTCGAAAATCGAAGAATGTAAATGTAGAAACTCCTGGAATACAGTCATTACAAACCCTCCAAGAATAATACAATAATGCTAGCAGAACCTCAGGTTCTGAGGACTCAAGAGCAATCGCTTCCTTCGTGGAAGTGAGAGCATAGAGAGAAGCGCAAGAGCGAGGGTTATATGCTCGTTGTAAAAAACATACCATAAAAAAGCCATGCGACATCCCATATACCTGTTTGTATACCAAGGTACCTACCTACATGATGCATAAACCTCATCCTACAAAAGAAACACCCTAGAATCCCTGCCAACAACAGACAGACCAAACAAATCAACCTCAACCAATCAAGTTTCCCCCACCAAAAATACATCAAAATATATCAGATTCACTATCACTTTTAGGTCCGAGGACAACAATAAAGGATTGAAAGCTTCACTTCCGCAGGAAAAAGAAAAGAAGATTGAATAACAATAGATAAAATAAAGTAAAAGAATTTCGGTTTTCAAAACTGAGAATCGCAATCGATCTTTCTTCCCTTCTCGTCTACTTATCTCTCGTCTCAAAAATTTCTATCCTGATATTTTCTTTACAACTTCAACAGCTGAAGGAGCAACAGCTTTGACTCGTCGCATCGCATACAAACGCGTGTGCGCAAAAGCTTTATTCAAGATGTGTAAGTGACTTTGAATTTATCCCAGTATCTTCCTTTGAAATGACCTTTGCTTGTGCTGCGATTCACACATTTGCGCCTTCCCCTCTTCCTACTCATCTCCTTCTGCAGACTCCACTTGCATCTCATACCAATTGATTATGATAAAACAAGAATCAAACTAACAATTCAAACCAAACTGCACAGCGTACCCAATGGTTGTTCTTCCTAGCAGCAGCGGGTACCGTCCCAACAAAGGCGTCAAACGCGAACATGATCCCGATCAGATTCACGATGTCAGCTCCAAAAGTCCAAATGCAAATGGCACTTCAGACAATCACACACACCAGCACAAGAAAAAGAAGAGTCACCATCCTCAAGATCAAACAGAACAAAGCGGAGGCGAGAAGAAGAAAAAGAAGTCTAAGCGCATATCTTCTCAATCCCAGAAACAAGAAGACGCATTAATGAGTGGGGGCTTGGGAGATATGAGTGCGGAGTTGGGAGAGCCGATATTATCACCTGCTCGCGATTCTCAAGATTCGACACCCAAAATGCCGAAAGTCATGAAAGTAAAGCATGCGAAAGTGAACGAAGATCGAGGCGGGGTCAAAAAGAAGAAGAAGAAGAACAAGACGAAGAAGAATAAGACCGTACATTTTGAAGAGCCCAATAGTAACTATCGCCCACCGCACGTTGTTGATGAGGAAGAAGAGGCAGAAACTGAGAGATCCGAGATGAATGGTGATTCGGCCCAGCGCGAAACATCTACCGTACCCGTTCGATCTCACAGTCCAATCGTACCACCACCATCCAGTCCAATTCTTCCTCCCACCCGACCAAAGAGATCCTCGAGCCATGGTCCTCCACCTCCAATTCTCCCACAGGCTTCTCCGAGTCGGATGGATCCACTGTATGTTCCTCCCACAGTCTCGACTCCGATCCTGCCTCCAGTTTCACCTTTCAAGAAGAGGCGTATCTCCACTGGTGATTCCTTTTCTCAAACACCTCCTACCTTCTTAACAGAAGCTCCAAGTCCACAGGCTACTCCATCAACACCTGCCAGACCAACATCCGCCAAATCAGCCCCACCTAAATCTAAGGATGACGAATGGGAGTTTAGCACTGGAAAGATTCGAGCAATCATTGGTGATCCAATGGAAAAGGATGCCCAAAGAGAGGAGAGTAAGTCAAATTAACCAACTCCCCATTTGGATATCTCCATTAGTGCTAATGACTGTCTGCCCACTTAGACGTTGCATTTTCATCCAACTACATCCAATCCCCTATGCGACAAGATCAAGGTATCAATGTAGGAGGCGTTAACTTCAACATTTGGCACATTAAAAACCGTGAAACCTTCATCTTCAAGAGCAAAAGCACTGGACTGCAAGTCTGTTCCGTAGCTCAAGGTACCATATGGGTATTCCTCGGTCTCGATAAATTTCGTATATCGAAAGGTGGGATGTGGCGTATTAGGGAAGGAGAGATCTGCTCTGCAAGGAACCAGGATGGCCACGAGTGTGTCTTGCACATCACCTCAATTCCAAGTGCTTCTATATTGGCAAACCGGTGAAGAAAGTTGAAAGGAATTATCTGGAAGTTCTTGCGAATTTGAATTACACTTTGATGCACTTGCATTTGCAGCATATGAAACGGGATTTATGATTATAAGAAGGCCTAGAAGTCTTTTGCGAATGCAGCAGGAAACCAATGGATTTTATTGCACTTACAAAATATGGAAGGGGACCTTATTTGTTCAAACAGGGTTGAAGCTCCACAATAGGCAATTGTATACACACCATGTTTTTCACAAGTACTCCTTCACAAGAATCCTGCAAGGCAGAAAAAGCTCCCCCGAATCTTTCTTGACTTGACCCATCCAGAGAATCATCTGCGAGCTAAATATTATCGTGAAAAAAAGAGCGCTCCCGTATTGACCCCTACAACCCCGAATGTCTCACCAACTACGGACCCGTATTCTCGTGGCGTTCACTAGATTAACTGACAGCTGAAAGATTCCCCACCAAAAGCCCCCAAAACTTCCCAATCAAATTAATTCCCATCCCGCAAAATGATCCTTTCGGGCTTAATCATTGAGAAGCTGGAGGAACCTTAACTTTATTCAGACGTTAGGCTTGAAATGATGCTTATTTTAAGTATGGTAGAAAATTGGCTGCATAAAATGAGCCTCAACGCCCATCAATATCATGAGCTGATTTGATCAATTTTCTCTCGTGCTGTACAATAGGCAGTAGGATAGTAGGGGTCATGTGCCGTTAAGAATTTATTTGAACGGTTTTCCCCTCTGAACACAATGCGTAAATTGTAGATCTTGAATGCCAGTCGCCCAAGTCGATCGTGGTGATTAAGTTTTGGTAGCACAAAATGATTTCTTCGTTGTTTCTGGTGGGCTCGAGTCTCTTGCCAGCAATTTTGGCGAAGGCGCTTCCCTGGACACCAGCAGTTCAAACGTCTATTGCTAACAACCGAGCACCGGTGCAAGGAGGGTGGAGTCCCAGTCCAACAGCAGCTCCGAACAATGCGCTGAAGGTGTTGGATCTATTGAAACGTCAAACAACTGCGAATAACACTTGCGGATACTACAATGGCATTCAATGTTAGTACTTCAACAGTCAAATTCGCATGCAAATAGACAGAAATATACTAATAACATGAAGCGGAACCTTATACTTGTTCTGGAGCAGGCTACTGTGCCCATAATTCATATTCTGCTGTTGGATGCTGTACCGGAGATATCAATTCTTGCGATATATTCACCGCTTGCATTGACTACTCCTCGTCCTCGGCACTCTGTGCTCTAGCAGACGGGTTAACGGGGTGCTGCAATGATTCGAATTTCCCTTATTGTGCAACTTTTCTCTGGAATAACCCTCAAAGAAGCATGTATCGCTGCGTAACGTCTCAGGCATTTTATCTCATGTCCGACTACCCAGTAACTGGCACTACTTCAATGACTGCCGCATCTTCTGTCACTCTGTCTCGAAGTGTCGCCTCAGTAGCGAGCAGTATCCAAAGTGGAGATGATGCTCAGGTTGTAAGCAGCACTTCTCGAAGCTCAGTGACCTCAGCAAGTGCACGTAGTTCAGTAACCTCCGCAGGTTCACGTAGCTCAGCATCTTCATCGTCACTAGCAACTCCATTTGCAACTACAACGACCCAAAATAAATCTGGAGCTCCACTAGGAGCTATTATCGGTGGAGCTGTGGGCGGCGTTGCAGTAATTGCGCTATTAATTTTTGCCATCGTTTTCTTCGTCAGAAGGAAGAAATCAAAGCCTTCAACACCACAGCCTCCACCCCAAGTCTCAACAACCCTCCCTAATAACCCATATCAAGGGCCACCGCCAAATTCACCTCCGCCATTCTATGAGAATCGTACCAGTATTGCAAAACCGGCTTATCCTGTACAACAAACAACTGAATTGGCAAATACTGCGTATATTCCTCCTGCTATACCCGAGTATTATCAGCCACCGAAGGATGATGCCCCTGTATCACCCAGCAGCAATACACAGAGATTTTCAAATAGTCAAATATATAGCGATCCAGGCCATCAGTACTCCGAGCTGGATGCAACTGCTCCGAGTCCGTTGAATGGGAATAGAGTGGAGTTAGGTAGTGAGCCGGGGAAACCAAGTCATGGAACAGAAATCAGTCCTACAAGATGATTAGAATGTTCGAATTATACTGATGGTTTCGATCAAGATTCTTCGAGAAGATTTTGGCCATTTATCAGATTCTTGAGATGTTCATGAAGAGCATTTCGTTTGGCGTGAGAGATGGAAATGGCGTACATTATAAGACATTCCGGTTTGCTCATTAAGCTTTGTGAAAGATATCTAATATAGTGTACATACATAAATTAATGTTCGACTTCAGCTTTTTGGTAGTTTATTAGGTATACTTTGGTGGTTCGTCATAATGATGTGGTTTATATGTGAAAACTTGCCTGAAACGGGGCTCCGATCGTAGTATATAAGAATCGATTCAATCCCTCTTATGATACGGACGACGAAAACATATTGATTTGAAGTTGTAATAACTGGAAGGCGTTGAATCGGCATCTTATAGAGTATCTTCCATCATATTGAACAATTTTCAAACTTGGATGTCGGAGAATTGGAGTGTTAGATAACTTTCTGAGAGCACGGACCACCAACCAGAAGTACGATAGTGAAGAAAGCTTCGTAAAAAACTAAGGCAAATGACACTCATACATTATACCCTTTGATATACAGACAGCATAGGACAGATTTGATTGCCATCAAGTGAACTAGGTCGTGATCCTGTATTAATCTAATGCGAAGTATCGTCTATCAAAGATAAATTTCGCAGCGGGATCGCAGATATGCTTGCCCCCACTATCGTGGATCATTGATGCGATGCTGCATTTTCGGTTGTCCCCCTTCATCAGGTTTGCATAATATCAGGTACAGTATTCGCTCACTGTTGGAGATGAGCAATTTGGGAAGCTACGAATACTCAATATCGCTGTGAGCTACTTCTGGTCGTCACTTCCTTATTGAACCACTAGGTATCTATTTCCTCCATCTGCCCGAAATTCTAGAAATTTCTTCCTTTTCTCAAAAATCTCGTTCTGTCAAGATTCAATCTTTAGAAAACAATACTTAAGTGTTACTCCTATCATTACCAGTTCTATCAAGTATTAGTTCTATCAATTATCAGCCTATCAAGTATCAGTCCTATCGGGAAACAGTCCTATCAATTTACTTGCAAATCATCCATACACACATCTTACAAAAATGCCTGAAATACTACGAGTTGGAATCATAGGGCTTGGGGAGATTGCACAGGTAACACCATCCAGGAACATCTGCAGCAAACACAACTAACTCTCTCGAATACAGGTCTCACATATCACAGTCCTGAATAACCTATCCGACTATTTCACTATCACATACCTCTGTGACCCCTCTGAAGCTGCTCTAGAGCATTGTTCCAGAAAAGTTGCTGGGAACACCCCTAAAACAACCACAGATGCGGCACTGCTTTACTCATCTCCCGATGTCGATGTGGTTCTAATAACAAGCGCACACGGTTTCCATGCATCCCAGGCCATACTTGCTCTGCATAATGATAAATACACCCTAGTAGAAAAGCCATTGTGCTTATGTTTCCGAGATATTGAGCAGCTTGAAGAAGCCGAGAAGGGATCGGCAGGCAAGATCTTTGTTGGGTACCAAAGACGCTACGCCCAGGCATTCGTCGATGCCGTAAAGGAAGTAGGCGGCCTCGGCAAGATCCAGTATGCTCGTGTCCGAGATATCATCGGACACAACAGAAATTTCGTTGATCAATCGGCGACATTTCCTAAGAAGTTCTCAGACTACAAGAAGGCAGATTCCGAAGCTATGTCAGCGGTTCTGAATGAACAGATTATCCACGCGCTTGGTACAGAGTATGGGATGGACGTAACTCCTGCGGCTAAGGAGTTTTTCGGATTCTTTTCAATGTAACATCCCCACAAAGCTCCAGCTTATGTGAGACACTTACTGATTTTCTAGTCTCGCTACTCATGATTTGAGTGCAATGAGAGAATTACTTGGTGGCATGCCTCAAAAAGTGCTAGGATCATCTCTAAGTCTACCATTTTGGACGGTCTTGTTCCAATTTGACGGCTTTGCTGTGACATATGAGTCGGGCGTTCAGGGCGTCCCAACATTCGACGCTCATCTAGAAGTATATTCAGAAGACAAGATCGTTCGGGTCAATTATGACAGTGGATATATAAAAGGACTTCCTGTCACGATGACAATCAGGGAAAGAATTGGTGAATCGGGATATCAGGAAAGAACTGTGAGAAAAACATATGAGGACCCGTACACTTTGGAATTCTTAGATTTCCATGATTGTGTTATCAACGGAAAGACCCCTAAGACAAGTGTACAAGACGCGAAGAAAGATTTGGATCTTTTCAAGATGATCCTTCAATCCTCAAATTCCCTGTGATAGTATACATACCTAGGTAGAACAATAAAACTCGATGTTTCCAAGAATTCAAAGCACATTAAGGTTTTCATCATCTACTCCCGAGCTCATGGGGTCATCTTTATCTTGCAAACAACGCCTTTGAAAATTTCAATGGTATGATTCTTACCGAATGATGTTGGGTATAGTTGCCTGTCAAATACTGTTCTACATCTCATCTTCACTAAAAATGCTTCTGGCCGAGTTTTCAATACCGCTGCTTGTGGGATTCGCATTTCGAGTCCGATTTACCCTAAAATTCTCCGGTTAATAACTATAATATATTAGTTATTATAACTAGTACATATTAATGGTAGGCCTTCAAGCTTCCCCTTTAAGCTGCATGCTAACCCTATTTAAAACCTTTAATCTTCAGAGAGAACAAATCCTCTTAGATAATTTATCTCTTTAAATAGTTCTCATAAAACTTATATAATCGATATTCCCGCTACATGTATAACGCTACTACATGTATTACAACGACCTGTGTAGGGCTTAGGACGGCACGTGGGTTTGAGGCTTCGGGCCTACCCCGGGCCGACACTAATATGTATACAAGTATAAAATGTAGAATCTTTATAATGTAGTTTATTAGTGGGTCAGTTATATTAATGGATCGGCCACTTTTACCTTGAATTATTATTCTATATTCAATATGTGTTTTCTTTATAATTAATTATGAAAATTCATTTTAAAGAAGTATATATAATCTTAGCTATTTAAGCTATTAAATCAAATAAAAAATTATTAATTCGAAAAGTAATTCAATTCTATTATATATCTTGAATTATATTGAATAATAGAATTCGAGGTAAATCTAATATAGCTGAGAATTGATTAAAAAGTTATAATTTAATTGAATTAAAAGAGGAGGTATTTATTCAATATATTTTTGATATGAATTTGAAAGGTTTTCTATTTAAACTTAAGAATGTAGAAGATATAATGAATTATATTCTCAAATCGAAGAATGTAAAACATATTAAGAAGTTTTAGGTATATCAATTCGTAAAGTGTTGAATCAAATTAAAGATATATTTTAGTTATGTTTATAACTTTCAAAAAGTTTTCTATAAAAATTTTAAACTTATTAAAAAGTGGTTTCAATTAATTATAAATATATGAACGAAATACAGCATTTTGAATGGAGATTTTTATAATTTCAATGAAATAGGCTTTATAATAAGAATTATATGTATAATAATAATTGTTATTAATACTGAGAAATGTAGTAAAAGTAAATCTATATAACCAGGCAATTGAGAATGGGCTATAGCAATAATATGTGGAAATGAAGAGAGCGAAATTATTCCCTTATTTCTAATGATTTAGAGATAGATTTATCTTTCTAATTGATATATCGAAATCGATCTTTCTATGGAATAAGCTATTAAACTTATATCTAATAAGTGAACAAACAATAAGACGGGTTTAGAATAGTTGAAATACTTCAACAAGTACATTAAGAATTAAAGAAAGGATAAATATCGAATATTGATGCTGAATAAGCATGAAAGTTATAAATCAATAGCTTTTTAAGTATACTATAAAGAAAATAATATTATATATTTATATTTATTATTGTATTTAAGTTATTTAACTTAATCACTTAATATTAGCTATTTTAGTAATCTAAAACGTTCATATAATAATCAAATTAATAAATTTATTAAGATATATATTAATTATATTTCAAAGATTGAATTCTTTATAGCTTTTAAAACTGTATATAAAGAATTAATCACTTCTTAAAATATGAAATCAGGATTTTGAAGAACAAATTTAATCTTATTCAATCCTAAAGCTGTATTCTCAAAATTAAATATTCGAATTCACATACCTACCCTTCCCTCTTTCAATCTAAATCAATAAATCTCTTAAACCCCTTATAATCTAATTAAAATTCTTTTTCAATTAATATTAATTAAATCTTGAATAACTTATTATTAAATAAATTTCTTTATATTTATATTTGAGATTATACTAATTCTAATTAAAAATACAAAAAGATTAGCTTATAAAAACACACTTTTAAATATAAAGAATTATATATTTCGAATAGTAAATAAAGCATTAAGTAAATATCAATATACAAAAAAAACCTAATTATATTAAAAAGAAGTACTTATTAAATAAAAAACTTTTGATATATTATTTTAATAAAAGGTTGATATTTAAATTCAATATAATAAACATTAAAAAGAAAGAAATTCTAATAAAAAAGTATCTTTTAATTAATATTATAATAAATACAAAAAGATAAATCATAATACAAGAACCTATTAAAATAATATAATATATTTTAGATTATTAGATTCTTAATAGTTTTAATCAATTGATTTAGTTGTTATTAAATAATATAGCTTTAAAGTGACAATTCGAGGTAAAAGTGGCCGATCCACTGATATAGTCGACCTACTAATAAACTACGTTAGTTTAGAAAGATTAATGAAAAGTCTTTATACTATAATATACTAGTTGATTCATTACTACTATTCGCTCTTATAGTATGTACGCTTTTATTTCCATATAATATATTACTTTAGGTTGAATTAGATAAAAAAAATGATTATTATAATTTAAAATCTAAAAATAAAATAATTTGAATAAGCTAGTTTAACATTTTACATTCGAAAGTTTAAAATTAATAATAATAATAATAATAATAATAATACTGATATTCAAAATATTAATTTTTGTTAAACTATTATTTAGATATTAATAAATTTAGGAATATAAATAAGAAAATGAATAATACTAGAAACAGAACTTTTTCATATATTGATATCAAAAATGTTAAAATTGATATTTTCCTTTTTAAAAGTAGTACTTTTGTCATTTTTGTCCTGAATACTTTTCAAAAAAATGATGCTTTTATTCTAAAATTCAACTTCTTAATAAATATTATTTTGATTTTAATATATATTATATCAACAAAATATCTTATAAAACTAAAGTAATATTCTTGTTTTTTATGCTATTTAGATATTTTTCATCAAAGTAAATGAAATTATTATAAACAAATTCTTGTAACTTAATATTTGTAATTTTATTATTCTTATATTTAATAATTTTATATTGAATAAAAGTTTCAATATACTTTTTATAGTTATTGTAAAGCTTTAATTTATTATATATATTCCTGGCTTTTAATAAGTCCTTTAAAAATATAAATATTAAAGATTTATGAATAAATCTAATTAAAATTAAAGATCTTTCTTCAAATTCATCTTTTGAATTGTTTTTTATAAATACTTCGTTGTGATTAGTTAAAATTTATAATTTATATATGTTAAGAATCTTCAATCTTTCTAATAACTTAAAACTCTTTTCTTTTTTTAAGATATTATATTTCTTTAATATGATTAATGAAATATTAGATAAAATAAGATAAATTAATAAGAATAAAAAGGTAAAAAAGATAAGAGGGGGTTTTTGAATAATTAATTAAGTAATTTGTGATATTATTAATTAATATTAATTTAAGAAGAATATAAAAGATATAATAATACTTATTATATTCGTAAATCCTAAATATCTATATTATATTCTGTCTAAAAAGCTAGCTAAATATAGGAAGTTATAGGCCTTATATAAACTATTAAGCAGACTTGATAAGGTGTACACATAATGTATATGAGTAAAAAGAGTTTATATGTCTGTCTATTCTCTTCGTACGAAGGGGGAATTACTAAGTCGGGTACCCTACTTTCAGGCCACCCCGCTTTTGGGTCACTTTTTACATCAAAAATGGAATTTTTAATTTTCTTATTTATAGATAGAATTTATTGAAAATTTATTTATATATAATTCAGATCGTTTTGAATATAATTTGAAATTTTTAGATTTTTAGAATTTTTCTGTATTGAGATCTAGAGCTTTAAAATATTGATTTTTTAATTTGTATGAGAATTATATATAAATTTAAAACTTTTATAAAAACTTTAATAATTTTTTAATAAAAATTATTAAAAATAAACTAAAAAGTTTTATTATAAGTTTATAAAATATTTATTTTGAAGGATTTAAAAAAAGAATTTCTTATAAATAGATATTTAAAAGAATACTATTAAAATTATAGGAATTATTTATATTATTTTAAACTCATTATATATTATATTTCTATATCTATTAATTTTTTTGAATTTTTTTTTGAATTTCTATATAAATTTAAATTCAAAACTTTCAAAAAGATATATAGTTTTCTTTTAATAATTATTATTAAAAAGTTATTAAAGATTTTATAAAAATTTTAAATTTATATGTAATTTTTATATAAATTAAAAAATCGATATTTTAAAGCTCTAAATCTCAATACAGAAAATTCCTAAAATTTTCAAATTTTCAAATAAGTTTAAAATGGCTTAGATTATATATATTCAGATTTTTATCAAATTAGATTATATATTAATAGAAATATTAATAAACTAAAAAAGCGATTTTTGGTGTAAAAGGGTGGCTCAAAACAGGGGTGGCTTGAAAGTAGGGTGGTTGATTTAGTGGGTAGTCAAGATGGGAGGCTTGAAGGCCTACGATTACTATTCACTAGATTTGATTGCTTTAATTCTCCAGCAGTTTGTCCCTGTTTCAGCACCTCATCGCTTGTCAACGTTCTTCCCTGAAACACGCCTTCAAACAGGTGTCTTTAGGTTTTTCATGATGGAATCCAGTTTCGCTATCTGGAGTACTTTTGGTAAGAACGGTTTTATACTTGGGACAGGAACTTCATTTGCCCGTAATGAATCTTCTATATAGACTATCGACCGAATCACATAGCCACAAATGATTTAATAGAAACGACAAAGGTTGCTCATGTTTCGTCATAGGGTAGATATTCGCCACGATTGGGCTCCATAGTTGGGTACAATATGATCGTTGAATACTCCAAGATACATGGCAGCCCTGGTTCATCTTGAACGGCAAGCCGCAAACCTTATAAGATTGCTATTCTTCTAATTCTTGGCAAGCACACCAGGCACCTAAGTAAGTGTGCTTTAGTTGGTCCGGAAAAGCTGCGAAGTTTGTTTGTATTATTCTAGGTCTCTATTCCATCACGTACAAGATTGAGGAATAACATTTCCGGATATGTCAACGAAGTATTCGTATAATGTCTACTCGAGGAGATCATCAACGGAAAATGCTCCCCTGCCCTATAAACCCCCGCATTAATGTGGAGAATTATTGGAATGGTTCGGGTGACCCCATGATCGTCTGCCGTGAAACTCTTATTTCTTCGCTTAGCAGTAATCCTTCGTTCCATACACCGTTCATTCTGAGTTTTCAAGCAAATACGCACGGCTTTTGATCTAGATGGAGCCAAAAAAGCGAGTTTGTGGTAGACAGAATAAAGTTTCATTTTTCATACGTGCATCGTGGACAATAGTCATCGATTACAGACGAGGAAAGTTAGTCGCACGGACGCAATTCCAACACCAAGCTTGTGTGAGGACTTTTCTTAAGAAGTTCGGAGGGGGAAGGTGTTCGGAATGGAAAGGCAACTTGGGCTCGTTTGCATTATGAAAAGGGTTCCTCTCCCCATATTTTGTGTCATATCGATAATGTTGACATTCTACCCTGGCTCGTCGAATGCAAGTTGATTTTGCTGGTAATGTCTTCAGTAAGTAGAGCTTTCTCTTTTCTTGTAATCTCTCTGTGAAGGCTAGTGCCCCCCTGGCGGCGTCACTCATTTGCCTGTGTGGTCTGGGTTTATCCTGTACTTTCCAAGTTCTTAATCCAACTTGAATAGTAACTGTCAGGATTAACCAGAAAAGGCGTGTTCTATAGCCTCGTTATATAACGGAATACTAACGGGAAATCAGGGTGATGAACTAAATGATACAAGAGTACATTTACTACTTGTTGGAACAATAGTTCCAACAGCTCTGGGTACGCTCTTTGTGGCTGGACGTCTCTATACTCGGGGTATCATCACTAGAAACTGGGGATGGGATGATTTTTGCATTGTTATAGCATGGGTACGATAATCTCTTACATTACAAAGTTCTTCGCTGTTTATCATCTCTAACAACCAGACTAGATTCTCACCGTATCTATTGCAGTCACCAATTCACTCTTCTGTAGCTATGGTGGTGGCCGTCACGTTGAGCTCCAGACTCAGTCAGACCTAAAACCCTTCTTCATCCTCGCTTTCGTATCTCGAATCCTCTACCAAGTATCACTTATGATGGTAAGAGTTGCCATCTGTCTGGTCTATTCACGAATCTTTCAAGATCGACTGAGTAGAATCATCGTATATAGTCTACTAGCTTTCCAAATTGTATCGACGATTCCTCTTACGTTGATTGTAGTTTTTCAATGCGATCCAATTGTTTCACAGTGGGACTTCAGCGTGGAACAAGTTCGTTGTATTGATCCCTTGCCGGGAATCATTACTTTCACCACTTGTAGTGTTTTCAGTGATGTGGCGCTTATTCTTTTTGTCCTACCGAGAGTTTGTATGTATTATGTTCCTTGTCCTCATGCATTCTTCAATCGAGAAGAACAAGAATTAACAATGCCCAAAAGTACCACTCAAAATCAACAAACGTCAAAAAGCAACACTAGTCGCAATCGTCTGTTTTGGTATCCTTGTCATCATCGCCTCGATCGTTCGCTTCATTCGCTCTAAACCTATTTTCACACAGAGAGATTACACGTGGGACCTGTGGGAAATCACAACATGGTCGAGTATTGAACTCAATACTGCATTATTCTGTGTTAGTGCTCCGTGTTTGAGACCCCTGGCCAGGAAAATGGTGCCCGATATCACGTGGTTGAAGAGCGCGGTGACTGCGAGTAGGAGTCAGACGACGACAGCTGGAGGGAGAAGAAAGAGCTTGGCTGTGGGTTCGCAGGGGAATAATGGGAAAGGGAAAATAGGAGAAGAATTGCCGCAAAATGATTTTAGAATGGCGTCGAGATTCACGGTGGGTGGATCGCGGAGCTCTCTTAATAATAATCGGCCTGGAGGGAGGAAGGAACGGAGTAAGGGGAGAGGAAGAGAGGAGTGGGAAATGAGTGTACTTGGTTCGCGAAAGGGGTCGAGTGCTATAGGGGATGAGGAGGATTGGATTGGTCTTGTTGATGAGGGGACAGATGAAGAGGAGAGGATTAGGAATAGGGTGCGGGCTTTGAGCGTTCCGGTTGTGGGAGTTAGGACGGAGACCAGTACGAAAGAGCCCTAATTTTTCTGAGGTGCTTTTTTGAGGTGGTTTTAATGGCGCAATTTCCAATGACCGAATGGACGGCTGGATGCCAGGGACTTCCTGAAACTCGAAGCAGGGCGTTTATTATGTATACCAACTATACCACTTTTTTGGAAACGGAAAGGACTGAAAGGGAAAGCAGAGGGGGCGGTTAAAAAGTCCGAAGAGAAGATATTCCAGCCATAAATCTGTATACTTAATTACCAAAGAATAGAGGCTCACAATTGATCATTGTGGCACTTATACCTATGACTTGTCGTCTTACACTGCGTGAATCCTTATCGATGCACGTGAAATGCGAGACTGTTCTCCATCAAACAATTCCCTACAATACACAAAGTTGATTACAGAAATGTGAAGCTTACCCAAGAAAATAGATTTCGTCAATATCTCAATGGTCGATAATTCAAATATCTATCCCAGACAAATGGTTTCATTACCCAAACGCCGTCGCTTAATGCATACATTATTGACCTAGGTACCTTGTCCCCATCCGTTTCCTTCGTTTCTTGATGATATACAATTGATACGAAGAGATTACCTTCTGCCTCCTCTACCCGCTGGAGGGCCTCCCATACCGGGCATTCCAGGCATTCCAGGCATACCGCCGCCACCCATCATTTTCTAAAGACAAGTTAGCAAAATATCAATATTGTGGATGAACTAGAGGATATACCATCAGACTAGACATGTCAGGCATACCGCCGGGCATGCCTCCAGCACCACCACCACCGAGCATTTTCTAAAACGATTGTTAGCAGTGACTCGATATCGAAACATCTAACAGAACGTACCATCATGCTACTCAAATCTGGCATTCCACCGCCTCCACCGCCTCCCATTGAAGCGAGTCTCTTTTGCATAGCGGCCATTTGTTGTTGTTTGTTTGCACCTCCCATTGCGCCTTGTGCTTTTTGCATATTCTTCATACTTCCACCCATTGTCTTTGCCATACCAGCCATCATCTTATGTTGAGTCAATAAGTCCTCTATTTCCCTTACACTTGTACCACTACCGCGAGCTATCCTCGTCATTCTAGTGGGTTGTTCGAGGAATATCTTCCCGTCTGAATCGAGTTCTTTGGCAGTCATAGAATCACAAATGTAAATCATACGTTTGAGCTTCATGGCACCATCCTCATCGTCCATTCCTTGCATCATATTTCCCATACCTGGAATCATACCAGCCATTTTCGAGAGAGGTCCCATCTTCATTATATTAGATAATTGATCGCGAAGATCACGAACTGTAAAAATACCCTCCACGATGTGCTTCATGGTGTCTTTTTGATCTAACTTCAAAGACTGAACATGCTCCATAAGTCCTTGCATGTCTCCCATACCTAGTAGTTTTGAAACGAATTGTGTGGGTGCGAACTTTTCTAAATCAAGCATGTGTTCTCCAGTTCCGATAAATATGATAGGTGTATTTGTTGCTGCAACTGCAGAGATTGCGCCACCTCCACTTGCGTGCCCATCGGTTTTCGTGATAATAATGGCTCCGAAGTCCGCAGTTTCCTTGAAGGCTTTACTTTGCGCCTCAGCTTGCTGTCCTATACTGGCATCCATTACCATCACAGTTTGGTCGGGCTTCACAGCTGTTTGAATATCCACCATTTCTTGGAACAGAGCATCTTCTTGTCGATGTCTTCCACTGGTGTCCACAATAATAATCTCGAATTTTTCCTTCTTGAATTTATCCACACCCTCCTTCGCCACAACTGCTGGATCCGTTTGCGTGAGAGAACCGTAATACGGGATCTTAGCCTTTGTAGCGTTTTGCTTCAACTGATCAAAAGCACCTGCACGGAAGGTATCCGCGCAAACCAAACAAGCCTTGAACCCCCTTGATTGATACCATCTTGCCAATTTTGTACATGTCGTAGTCTTTCCAGCGCCCTGCAATCCAACAAACATAATAATGTTCGCTTTGCCTTTCTTTGGTTTAAAGGGTTCGGCATGAGGATCGACAAGTTTGACTAATTCATCATATACAGCCTTTTGAATGACTTTCTTCTTGTTGACAGCCGGGGCAAGTTCTTTAAAGTTCACGGAGGCTTTGATGGATTTTCGTAGATTTCCCACTAACTTTACATTTACATCGGCTTCGAGCAATGCGGAACAAATATCCTTGATCATGCCATCGAATGCCTAATTGATATTAGTAGGAGGAACGTTGAGAGATCTTGACAATCGTCCTCGACACTGACCTTTTCATCCAAATTGCTAGATCTTGTGAGATCTGTAACTGCAGCATTTATGCGCCGACCTAAATCTTGAAGAACCATGACTATGATAGTTTATGCGACAGCTTTATTGACAGACTTCAATGTGTGGCCCCAGATGAGATGGATGCATTTAATGATTTAATGTGGCTCGAAGGTGTGGGACAAATAAAAGCGCGGGGAATTTAGTGCACCGAAGGGTTTATCCGTTATCCGAAAAATCCAAAAAATTTCCTGGTTATGATAACATTTATCAACCATTGTTCACAGAAAAAGAATTCTCAATTCAATCATAACAACAACAACAATGGCAGGAAATGTTTCGAAGAAGCGTAAGGTGGAGGATGGAATGAAAGGAAAAACCGGTAGACCCGCCAAGAAATTCAAGAAACAAACATACTACGAATCCTCATCCGACGAAGAAGAATCCACAACAACTCAAGATTTTCAAGCAGTCAATTTACAAGATTCAGACGAAGAGGAGGAAGGACCCAATGATGCAATCACAGGCACTTTATCAGACGAGGATGATGAGCCGGATCTCAATGCCGCAGATAACGAGTTGGAAGAAGAAGTCACCGATGCCTCAAATTCCGATTCAGAAAATTCAGATGACGATTCGGACACAAATTCAAACCCAAATTTAATTAAGGCACGAAAGCGCAATGATCCAGAGGCATTTGCTACATCTATGTCTAAGATTTTGGGGTCCAAGTTATCAGCGAGTAAAAGAAATGATCCGGTTTTGTCGAGAAGTCAGACGGCAATAGAAGCTAGCAAGGAAATGACGGATTTGGCTTTGGAAAAGAAGGCAAAGCATAAGATGAGGGAGGAGAAAAAGGCTGCCATGGAAAAGGGAAGAGTCAAGGATGTTTTAGGTGCTAGTACAGCATTTGATGCGAGCAATGGTTATGGGAATGGAGAAAGTGTACCAAGTGTACAGGCAACGATGGAACTGGAAAAGCGGTTGAGAAAAACTGCTCAAAGAGGTGTTGTCAAGCTTTTTAATGCTGTTAGAGCAGCCCAAGTTAAAGGCGAGGAGGCAGCTAAGGAAGCGAGACAAAAAGGAGTTGTAGGACAGGGAAGGAGAGAGGAGAAAATAAACGAGATGAGTAAGAAAGGATTTTTGGATTTGATTGCAGGTGGAGGTGGATTAAGGAAAGGGGAGATCGAAGAGGCTTGAAAAAGGATGGAATATGTTCTAATTACATTTGGCATGGCATGGCGTTAGAGGTGGGATTTTACCCCTCATGAGGGTTTCGTTAAAGCAAAGTACCTAAGTATCCACCAACTCCTCGTCCATCATTGATATGGAGTATATGTACAAAGGACAGATACCCTTTTTAATATGTCCAACCTACAACCCAAATGCAATGCTTCCCTACACCATTATCTAGGGTTGATGTCTCGAATCATTAGTGCCCGTACATGTGATGAAGTTGTGTCGCGCATCCGCATCAACTCTTATTACTGAAATCGCTAGCCTGGAGATTGCGTGTCATAGAAGGAAGCCTTACGCGCAACCCATCCAACTCTTTTGACATCACGATTTGACAACCCAATCTTGATGTTTCCCTTAGACCGAACGCCAAATCTAACATATCGTTCTCATCATCATCTGGCTCATTCATCTTATCGTAGAATGCTTCATCTTCGACTATGACATGGCATGTTGAACACGAGCAAGATCCTCCACAAGCGCCTATAATGATTATCAATCTATGGTCCAAGGATAATTGTCTGTTTAACTAACCTTCCATTTCCAAGTCATTGGCCTGTGCTATATCCAAAAGATTGTCTCCTGCCGATACCTCGAAAGTATGTTCATCTCCCTCCTTATCGAAGAAGGTAACATGTAACCTGCAAGTCAATTAGCATTGGTATAACAATAAATGTTGACGTGAAAACACGTACCCTTCCCCAGGCTTTGGGGGCGTTACATGCCCGTGTAAAGCTTTTGATGTAGCAGAGAATTCTCGACGTGCAGCTGTAGATCTCCTGTTCTGTCTAATCTCACACATCTGCTTCGTGCTAGGTCGCGACCCCGATATCGAGAAGGGACATAACAGAGCGGGCGCTGCGGGGGGTCTGCAGGAAAATCGAATGGGACTATCGGCCACTGTCGCAAACTCTCTTCGTAGAGATTGAGTCGTGGTTCTGCGAATGCCTACAAAGGCTCGGCTTGTGCTACGAACTGCAGACATCTCGTCTTTATCGTGATTGTTATGAAGGATGGGTGGGGTTGAGAAACTGAGGAAGATCCGGAGTTGAGGGTGGATATGATATGTAAGTGAGATGGATGGAGACTTAGTCTGCCCGAAGTAAGTATTTGATTTTCCAGATACTTGTTAAAACTTTTTGACACTTTCAGGAATTGAAACAGTCAAGAATGTTCTTTCGAAACAATTGTTTTTTTTTTGTTTGAAATTATTGCAAGCTTTCCACAACTCTTTGAATCTTTAAACCAAAAGTTGGTGGCATTACATTTTGTACTCATATAAAAATATTCGTAAATCCGCGCATAACCAATCGGTGTATTGCGATTACTCCGAAATTTTGTGCGGTACAGGGCGGTCGAACAAGCTGTGAGCAAGGCCTGTTCACGGATAAGGCATATCAGTCACCAATTACTCCAGTTCAGCCCAGTTTTGGGGCCAATGTAATCCTTGTTGATGAACTCTCCAATTGAACATCGTAGGGGAAAAAAAGCTTCAATACCTTTGCAAGGTAGTTCTTCCACCTTGCACTGACGAACCGACGTGGAAAACAAAGAGACGACGACAACAACCACATAAGAGAATTTGTGTAGATTCTCTTTCCCCTCGTTTTTTTTCTTGAATGCAACATATCCCAAAATGTCGACCTCAAGAGAAGGTCCAAATCCGTTAAGACCATATTATGTTCCACCTTCTATCGGAATACCTCAAGATGTACCTATAACGACTTCGGGAACCCATGGGATAGGATTGAAAAATGGAAGTGCAGCTTCTTATGCATCTTCAGCTCGAGACATATTCTCAGATATTGACTACAGTGACTATCTATCGGATACCTCACCATCTACCATCGAATCACTTCAGAAGTTCGTTAATGAGACTTTTACCAACTATGCGGGGATATTGTGTGGACAGCCCTTCGAGGTTGCAAAAACAATTTTGCAGGTCAAGAGTCAGGATGTTGAGGAAGGGACAACACCAGCAGCTGCAGTGGAGAAATTAAAACGACGACCATCAGAGCACAATGAGGTATGATTTTCTGAATGAGGGGTCGAGATGCGGAGCTGATCGGAATCTAGAACTACCCCTCCGACGACTCTGATGCGGACGAGACAGCTTACTTTACATCGGCGGCACCCCATACAAAATCATCATCCCCGTCGAGGCGTCGGTATAGCAGTGAAGGATCTGGGTGGGAGGATAAATCTGTTCCTAAAATAACACCACCAAAGCCAAAGCCTGCACATCAATTAAACCTTAGGAGATCAGATTCTATAATGGAGGTTATAGCACAGGAATGGTCAAAGGAGGGAGCTTGGGGTGTATGGAAGGGATCCAATGCAACATTCATCTACGGATTCTTACTGAAGACGATGGAAAGTTGGTCAAGCAGCATGATTTCCGCAGCACTGAACATCCCGGACCCAGGTTTAGCAACACTAGCAGCGCAAGTTGATGTTACTGCGTCTCCTAGCCCATGGACATCATTAAGTGTAGCAATAGCAGCAGCTGCTACTGCGGGTCTCATTCTTGCCCCTCTTGATCTTGTGAGGACGAAGTAAGTCACTTGTAACTATCTACAAAACCTAATACTAATTCAGATAGGTTGATTCTCACCCCAACTTCAGATCCTAAAAGATCGCTCACCCACAACCTCAACACCCTCCCCTCATATATATGTCCTCCATTACTTCTCATTCCTACCATTCTTCACTCCATAATTAAGCCCACCATATCACACTGCACCCCGCTACTTCTTCGAACTCGCCTCTCCATCGATCCTATTCTCACCCCCACAAGCTATACAACATTCACATTCCTTGCTCAAACACTGGAAATCTTCATTCGTCTACCAATTGAAACAGTTTTACGTCGTGGACAAGCTGCAGTACTCGCCTCCACCCAATATAACGAATCTCAAGACCTTAAAACAATTGTCGATGTTGGCCCATACAATGGAGTGGTAGGTACAATGTGGTCTATTGCACGAGAAGAAGGAGAATCGTCTAGTCCCGAGCCTATCGCTAGTGTAGGCGCGGTGACACCATTGAGAAAAGTTAGGAAAGTTCAAAAGAAGGGACAAGGAATTGAAGGACTCTGGAGAGGATGGAGAGTCGGTGTATGGGGATTGGTTGGAATGTATGGAAGTAAGGCTATGAGTGGTGTTGGAAGTACCGAAGGAGAATTTTAAGGAAGTCACTATACCTACTTGTTGTCTATGAAAATTATGTTTAAAGCCACTTCGAATTTTTGTGGACATGATGGGATGGGATGGCGTTGATTTGTTGCCATTTGTTCGGCTTCGGAACGATGGAATAGCTCTACTTACATATATAGGGCGCAAAGGCAACTGGCGTTAGGATAACGAAGATATGTGAAATGACCAAAATGTACTCACCTCTACTTATTTTTTCTATTTTCTATTTCTGCTGTGCGATGTGTTTTGTACTTTTGCTGGTCTACATTTATATATCGCCTTTTGCTAATTGGTCTATTCGAATTTCGCCAATTTAGAATGGTAGTTCTTCATACACAATCTCACTGACATCTTCTTTTTCAGTGCCGTCTGCATCTAGCACAAATGTAGTTTCCCCTGTTTCGCTGGAAGGCGGGGAAGGCAAGCAGAGTAATTATGGAGAGGAGGCAAAATATCCAAAGATATTTTTCAGAGCGGCAACAGGAGCTGCAGACCGAAGTGGAGGGTTGCAGTGATGCTGGTATACGGTATGGACTGGGAGGCGGGAAGAGGGAAGAGGAGGAAGGAGAGATGTTGGTCTGTGTGGGATAATCAGAATACGTGGAATATGTAAGAGGAACCCTTGGAAGAGTAAAAGTATAAGGCCAAGGACATTCTGATACTGATGATGATTCTTCAGCAATAGCACCTCGCTGTAATAGAATCCGGTAATCAAGTTCACGACAAGCACAACTTCTTCCAGCATATTTCAAGCTAGCAATATAATGAAACCCTTTTGATGATTATTTTCCTGCATCAACAGACATCATAGCCAAAACTAATCCATTTCATCTCACCTTATTCAACAGTCTTCCCTAATCCCCACTTCGAACTCCCACTGATTTCTTGTTTATCAGATGAAACACCTGCAATCGTCAATCCCAATTCTGCTACCAACATTCCAGTGACTACTAGTATCAGAATCTCCTTCCAACTCACATCTGCTGCTGCGCGATCGTTTTTAAAATAGTGAAAATATGATAGTGGAGAATTTCGAAATGCTTCTTCGATGGGTGAAGACTTTTTGACCTGCTCTTGCTTGTTTGCCTCGAGTGGTTTTCGGATCATCTTAGCTGAAGAACTTTTGTACTTGTATTTGTATTCCTCGTTTATATTGAGTGGCTCTGGAACTTTCTTGACTGAAGGATTTTTGTATCTGTATTTGTATTCTTCATTTGCATCGAGTTGATTTTCTAGCCTCTCGGCTGCTTTGAGCGGACTCTCGGGTTCGTTTTGGAAAGGTAGATGACCACCGGTCAAACGCTGGATGTGTTTCCCGCCCCCACCAGGACCTTCTCCCCATCTTGCACTCGTGACTGCAGATTTAACACGCGCTGGATCTTTGACAGTCGTGGTCACAGATTCCCGAGGTGCTCTCTGAAATGGCTTCCACCAACCCTCTACATCTTCATACCCTTTTGATTTTCCAGAATCAGAAGGTTTAGTAGGCTCTTTCTGACTCGCAGCCTTAATCACAGGATCCTGAGATTCCTTATGAGTCAGGTTCCACCAATCTTCCATATCCTCATACCCTTTTAATTTTGCCTCATCTGCGTTCCACACTTTTACTTCATCCCAATCAATCAGCTGAGACGTTTCAGCGTATTCTCTCCGTCGTGCACTTCTCTCTCTTTCCGCCCTCTGGTACTCATCTTCACTCGTATTCCGGTCTCCTACCCGCCCCACTCTCCTCGGTGGTTTCCCCGTCAATCTCCATGCCGACAATTCTTCTTTCTTTTTGAGAATCACTGCTGCTATTTCTTTGTGCCGTTGCATCATGACATCTGATTCTGCATTTTTGCGCTTTCGATATTCGAAATAAGGGTCGGGTTGTGCTAATCTCTTCTTTATTCTATCAGTGAATTCAGTGCGCGAAAGATTTTCGGCTTCGAGTGCATCGAGCCAATGGACTCCTTCTCCCTCTGAAGGGTCAGTGGGAGATTCGTTGAGCTTTCCCCATCCTTGATCTGAACCGTTTCTCAACTTCTTATTCGGTGAATCCTGTCCCAGGCTTTCAGAGCTAGGCAGCTTTTGCGAAATTCTTGATCCGTATTTCTTTTCGTAGTCGCGTCGTTTGTCTTCCCATACTTTTCTTTTCAGAGCAATACGGTCGTGTCTTGAAGATGAGGTTGGGAAGTTTGGGGATTTGCTAAGATGTTCTCTGCGTTCATTAGGCGGGGTTCCTCGCCTGAGAGGGTCTTTCCGGGATTGGGTAGTCATTTTGTACTTCTCGAAGAGTGATGAGTAGAAATTGCCGCAGAAAGTTATTGAGAATCGGGGCTCCAGATTTGGATATTTGGCGATGCGGTTTGATGGGACAAAGGAAAATCATTTCTTTTGAGATGATTACAATTGGAAGTTGAGTGACGCATGCAGAATACAATCAAAGGAATAGCATGAAGCTTCTCAATAGTAAGACAAGGGTTGCTATGATTGTGGATTGATAGGTTCATTGTATTGTTCACAGAAAATGTCTTTTAGGAAGCTGTGTTCGAAAAGTTAATTGGGTATAAGCGTTCATTGACCCTGCTTTCATTCTACCTATAGTGTCGTTTACATTTTAGGATTCTCTACAGATTGAAGGATCTTTGTGATTGAACTCCGAAGTAGATTTGAGCCCCTGTGTATCCAACACCACCTCTTTCTTTTCGTGATCAATTATGTCTCGACTAGTCGAACAAAGCAGCAGATGTTGTCAAAAGACAATGAGCATTGTTCTTAGAAGACAAAGAATTATCGCAGGAGGTACTTGATTTCATATGCTTTATCCGTGAGTTATTATTCAACAATTCTCCAAACTTTTGAGAACAATTATGATATTCAGTGTATAAAGCTAAGAAGCTTGTAGTGGTGAAGGTTCCCTCGTCAGCCTTTCGATATCTTGTGAGTTTGTAACTTTAGTCCAACTAATATTTCGCAAACCTCAAAAGACTTCGTAGAGTTATTTCCAATCCTACTCAGACTTCCCAATTCATTGTCCGAACACTAGCTACAAACATGGCCTTAGGAGACCAATTCGTTGACATCGACTTGCACTCAGCTGGGGCTACAATAGAGCAGGCAAGAAGACAGCACATCGTGAAGTATTCCGTGCAGGGTAAGAAACCTAAGAGAAGTTGCTAACTCATCGTCATTTGCATCTTGATTATTGTCATTGCGCTTCTTGGGGGGTTCATTGGGTTCTTATTGATCCGCCTAGGTATCATCGGAATGCCATGCTCAACTCAGGTCAAGTCTCCCCAAGCTTCCTCTCCAGTTCATCTTAAGACCTTCACTCGTCCCTTTTACAACACCACGACAACGACTACGCAATCGACCACGAAGACAGATCCTAAGACTCAAGCCACAGCCACAGGTGCGCCAAGTGGCATTGATCCTGTGGCAGTCGCAACTTGCCTCGGTGTATTGGAAAATGCTTGCGCAACGAACCGTTCACAGACGACCTTCGGTCAATGTGATTCATTGTTTGTGTTCTTCTATTGTGAATTGACTGACATGATGGCGTTTCGCGGTGCAATGAAGCTCGATGATGATGGAACGAGTTTAGTCTGCCCGCCAATGAAGAAGTTTTGTTCAAGAGCTATCCCATTGAACCGAATTCCTCTTGCAGATGTTAGTCCTTGAACCTTGAGTTCCGAGATGAACGGCAGAGGAAGAGCAGCGTGTAAGATCATGTCAACGATAATGAATATTTTTTCCTAATGAACTTGTGCTTGACTTGTAAATGTGAGAAGAGAAATGAGAGTGAAGACGAGAATAAATATGTACACATTTGGTTGAATGAACATGGAACAAAGCTAAAACGCGCAGAGGGTTGTGGAAGGCCTATAGCTATAGGTTGATAAAGCTTTGCAGTTTGATTTCGAGGAAACTGGCCCTGGAAAAAGTTGTGGTAGTTATTGTGTCCGTCTCTTGTATGAACCATACTCAGGCCATGTAATCACCACACGTCGTATTGTCTGTGCGGCAAACAGAGCTCAAGAGGAATTCTTAACATGGCTTTAGAAGCCATCTATGGTACTCATCCATGTAGAATGGATAGCTAGAGAGTGGTGGATATCAACCACAGAATTTTCGGCACTTTTAGGTTAGGGGGAGCCAAGATAGCCTGTTAGTGTTCCAAGCGTCCGGGCCTAAATAATTAGCGAGTCATACTAAAAATTTAGCATCTTAACATTGAAACGACAATCCTCAAGAAGACACACATATACAATTGTTTGCAATACTTTAGCGCCATGATTATCATCCTTGGTGTGTAGCACTGCCACTTACACAATATATACGTTCCCACAACGTTTATGTCTTTCTTTTTAAGATCGAGATGAGCATTATTGTGTTCCTTGCTGACTTCAGGAATATTCCAGGTTCACAGATGTTCTGGATGCTTTGTGCAACGATGGCGAATGAGGTACACCGAGTAGGAATTCCAACGAGGTATCATTCTCGATCCTTGGCTGACATTGTCAAACCTTGCGCATACCATTGGCTACTGGGCAGATATATTGCTTAAATGGACCTTGCCCTCCAATTTTCAGGGATCTAAAATTCCAGATTATACTCATATTTCTTACTGGAAATTGACAAGTCATAGTTCATCATTTGGCTTCTGTAACTTTTGCAATGGTAAGCCGCGCTCTGATTCTCCCGGTAGATGCATACCCGGATCACTTGCAGGCCCATACTGCATTGGAAGTGCATAAATGGACTCAAGAGTGGCCCTTAATTGGTACATGTCCACCAGAAGTTTGTTTTGTAGCTCGTTCAGACGAGGCAAATTTGGTGATCAAAAACGAGGCAACCGTGCTAACGAGAAAAGGAATATGAACACCCAGCTCAAGTGAAGTGTTTGAAAGGAGCAGTCGACCCATGACTGCATGGCTCACAGTGAATTCAAAGTATATATTGAGGACTTCCCACCACGAAGAAGGTTGACTATAGTCGAAGCGATCTCGAATATATCTATAAAAATCTACGTACCCCTTTTTTCCTGCGGTATGTATTCATGTACTTTCGTCCCATTGCCATGTACCTTGAACCTTCGGATCATCGCTAAATAACAATAGGCTACAGAACATATGATTCGTCCATCTGGCTACACATACCCACCAATTACCCAGCCGCTCACATCTGATCAATAAATCATGTGTCGTCCGGGATCGCACAAACGTGCCGGAGGTTCGCAATTATTCGGCGGAAAGTCCTTAACTTATAGCTCACGGCACTTCCTGCCCGAATTTTGAGCCTCAATACACATTAAAAATTGCTCATGCAAGTTTCAGACTTCGCAAACCACCCTCTACCTCTCGTGAGTCGTATTGCCAAAGGAGAAGTAGATGTACACTCCATTCAAAACAATATCGGTTTCCCTGGATTTTGTATTTTGCAAACTTATTCATTGATTTCCTGATCAGATCTAGCACTCTCGAGATGGGTGGTAAAACACTCTTCTTGCCAAGATGAAACACATCGGTGTTCAATTTATGGTGTTCTACAGCAGCCACTCTGTTCGTGATAGGCCTCAAGTTCGCAACTAAGACCATATCGGCAATGAACGAATCCTACACAAGTTTCGATCTACCAGGATGGCATATTGTGCCCCTCCTTTTGTCTAAGTGGACGCTGTGGAGCAAATAAATGGATCAGTTATCGATAGTTATATTTCGCTCGTTGAATTCAACAGATATTCTCAGAATATTTGCGAGTTTGAGAAAGGAGATCTGTAGTTTACTTTCGGAGATGGTAATGTGCCAACTCTTGGTTGTCTCGTCGTTTTCGATACCGGAATGATTCAAAGTGGAATCCTTTACCATGCTTGAATATACGTATAGTCGCTATCATCCCATGGGGCTGCTAAAAGGTGTATCGAGTGTGCATCGTCAGCCAGGATTATGGTGCGAAAAAATCGGCCGACATCCAATCAATGTTCGTCACGAGGACTATGCCATATCTCCGTATACCCAGATAATGACCTTGCTAACCTTTAGAATTATCCTTGAATTATCCTAAGTGCTTGTTTGCAATTCTTCACGACATTCATCCTGTTGCAAGCTGAATAGATACGTGCTTCTAACTAAAATCTATCGATCATTTGGTCAAAACTTTCACAGCACTCAGTACAAGTTTGAAGAGAAGTTTCTGTATTGATTTGTGAGACACATGTGAGTTTACTATCTTCATGAAGTTTCTGACATTTCCTGATCTAGAATTCGAAATCAAGACCCTCGCGATAACAAATAATCTAGGCACACAAACTGTTGATACAATGGCTCATCAACATCATACTAGCTTCCTTTTCAATGTGAATGAGCTTTACGTTAATGAAGATCCCGAAAACGGAGGTAGACCTCCGAGGGTAAATGAGAATGGACGATGGGTGCCACCCGTTTATAGAGATGGTTTCTTACCTCAGACTCCCGGGCGAATGTTTAGATGGAACAATGGACATATCGAATATGCTGGGTCCAATTATCAATGGTCCGGCGGGCAAGGTTTCACCTATCCGAATAACGAAACGCTTCAACATTACAGCAGTACAACTCTGTTTTGGTGTAATGAATTTACGCAGTTTCAAATGATGGAAGCAGACGCAACAACGATAGACATAGCAACTACAGATTTCCCATACAACAGATGGTATCCCCTGACATTTCGATACGAAAGAACACTTTCAAGGGTATCTGCTTCTGTGGAGGAGCAATATCTTGCTGGGAGAGACGGAGCTTGGATTGCTCAGCTTGGGCTTCTGGCCTACCGCAATCGTAGGAACGGACCGACGGAAGGACTCGCTGGCAATCTTGCTACTATTGTGGCATTGGTGGCATTCTGTTGCACTGATGATGACACTCTATACAATGCTCTAATCAATCATCTTGCATGGCGAGGGCAGTTAAGGGTTTACGATGCAGAACATGGCAGTAAGCTATCAAATCCAGGCCACACAAAGATTATCGAAACTCTAACCAAAATAGGACGTCCTGAGAGAGGAGTCGTGAGCAACATCTACTTAGACCCAGAGAATCCGAATGGTTCTACATATGATGCGCTCCGTCATCTCGAATGGACGAACGGACCCATTGTTTACTAAAATTTGGTTCTGTAAAACAAACCCACTTTTTCAATGCCTCGCTACATCGACTTGATTCTCTGAAGATTCACGGATACTTGAAACGATTGTTTCTCTTTCCTGTCCTGGAATATACCCGTCTTGATGGAGTGGCTTGTCTTTCTCGGTTCTGATAATACGTTACGCCGCCATTATGTTCCGCAATTTTCTCTTCCGTTGACTTCCACTTTCCAAAGTCTTTAACGCACACACTTCAGTGCTTCATTCATCCGGTTCCAGCTCATTTAGCAGTCATAATTGAACTTTCGGGACTTACTCAACGTCTGAAAACGTTCCATTGGGTCAAAAGAGCCGAAAATTGAGATGTGCTTCTAACAAACTTAGCGGGTTTCTCGCATAGCTAATAATTGCTTACAATTAATATATTATGCATGAGTCTGTCTACTACACGGTTCATTTTGAAACACTGCAATAATAACCAGAAAGCCCTATATAACAATGAGCCGCCACTAATAAATTGATAAATCTCAAATATTTGAATGAGAATGCATAGACATGAGATTTCCCATCATTGGCTGGGTGGCCATGCTCGATTTCAAGGTGATGTGCAGAGTACGCAGTATTGCAGCATCACATGTGGCTTCGCAGACAAAAGCCTCGTTGGGTATTTGTATAAGACCGAACCTTTTGTCCTTGAAGTTCGGTCCCTAATCGCTGCCCTTCAACACTTCAATAACCCATGTGTCATTTGGATGGTCTGCTGGGGATATTGCGCAGGCAATATCTTTGATTGTCAAGGTTGTAAAAGCCCTTGATGATGGAAATGGGGCCCCTGATGAGTATCGCAAAATTGCCGTCTTTTTTGAGAATTTTGATCTCAAATCAAAGAACCTGCACGTCTTCGCTACATCGGGGATATATCCTTCGTATGGATATGAAATACGCAGACAAATCGAGAATATTCGACCGCCTTTGGAGGGTTTTCTCAAAATCATGAAGAAATTCGAATCACATCTAGGTAGCAATGCTGCACCCAGCTGGTGGAAAAATATACCCCAAAAGATGTGATGGACTTTCAAGAATTCGCATCACAAAGTGAAGAGGGAAATCAAGGATCATTCATTTACGCTCGACAATCTTTTGTATCGGTTTACATTGTGAGTGTTTTTTTCTCAGTGTCGACACTATTAGCAATACCCATACTAATTCATTGTCACCTGAAGGGAAGTCGTCCTCACTCTTCCAGGCGAACTGAAACAAACATTTATGAATACTCTTGCCCCTCAGATGAGTTCAGCTCTAGAAGGAATGCCCAATCCTATATGGAGCAAAATATCTATTATACGAAGCGAAGGGAGTGAGCAGCATAAAGAACTACATCCTAAAGCAGAGGAATTCATTCTATTGTTGCAATCACTTAAGATGAATGACTCAAAGCCTGAAAATAATGGTGTTTTGGATGCTACCGTTCAGAATATGAAAGAGCATATAAATAGTACGCTTGGATTAACGTCCAATCGTCAATCACCCTAATTTGCAGCTGCCCACAAAATGCATGTAATACTGAAACACCTCCTGCAAGCAATGTTTTATTGCAAGCAATCAACAAAGATCCACTCAAAGCGAGCGACGAGGAGATCAAACAATCGTTACGAAATTTGTAAGTCTTTCTGGCATTCTTCACGCAATGCTACAATCCGATGTTGATCCCCACAGATACTATAGCATCATTATATATGCAGAAATGTTCCTGCAAAATCTAAGGTATGTCTCCCTTCTCTTACTTGAATTATCAAAGATTAATTCTGTGCAGTTTATATTTAGCCAACTGGCTGAAGCTGTCGAAGCCCTCGATATTAACTCTGCTTGCGATGTATCACATAACCTTTCATGATGCACTTGACCGACCTCCAAGAGTTCTTCAGATTGATGTTTTTAATAACTTTCAAGTATGCATATCCTTACCGAACTCAACTCTCGTTGAGAATATAGGTCTTGGAGGCATTCTTATATCAGTCATTCTCTGATACAGAAGGGAAGCCCTGGGTAGAACGAAGGTCATATCTACTGGCGAATAGGTCAGAGAAATCTGCTCTGACGACTGATGCCCGGTCGCGGATCATTAAGCCAGGGTGTCATATAGAGATGGTCATGGTGCTTGACTATAGTAATAGGCTAAAGAACAGATGTCCCGGCACTAGCTGTTCAGGCATCCTAACCAATAAAACCAATTCTACATGGAGGAAATGGTTCAGTAAACCCTCTTGTACCTCAAATTCCACCCGGAAGCTCGCCAATTTACAAAGTTCATCATGTCAGAAAGATATACTTGAACCTAAAGTGGCCAAAAAGGTTGAAAAATCTTACGCTCCTGTATCGCAAGTGGCTATGGAACAGCACGAGACGAAAGGATCCGAGGCTGTCAATACTGCAACTTTCGCTCGGTGCGTCTATCGATTAAAACTTTAACCTCCGACTACAGAATGTGCGGAGCTTCTGAAGCCACAAAAAAGCGACACAAAGCTCCCAACGGCACAATCTAAATCTGCCGCAAGGCTGCAACGAAACGAGTCAAAACCTGCTGCGAGACCTGCAGTATCGCGGAACTTCCACGTCACCATTTGGAGCTGTTGCTGGTGACGAGATAATGCTGGAAATTACATATCTTCAGGAATGACAACTCAAATTATTAGTTGTCCAGGATGCCCGCATTTAAGTTGCCTCGAATGTCCTCTTAGGTGGGTCAGAATCCCTAGCCACCATCACGGTTAATAGAATACACCTTAATAAACTAATAATCATTTGTCGTTTTAAAACGAACACAATGAGCCCAACATTTTCGGCATATCCACTTATATTCAATACACAGTATCTGCTCTGTACTTGGGTGATGGGGCACCATATTCCAGTGTGCTTCAACCAATCAACTTGTAACCATAAAATAACCTTAAGTACTGGATAAAAGCTTAATCATCTTCTTGATTCTGACATCAAGGACGATTATCTACTTATGGTAATAAACCGTGTTTGCCACCCGGTTCTACAATCCTCGAGTCTTGATTATTCGTGAAACATGAGAAAAACAACATTTTTTAAACGATCAGACTAGAACCATCGACCAACATCTTTTTCTCGAGAAGTTGATAATAATAAGCTCTCCAATCATGTATATACACAAAGACTGCGCGCTAATCAAATAACCAACAATAGCCACAAGCCCAATCATCATTTGATCGACTCCACCAGCCCACCTGCAAACATCTCTCAAGATGACTTCCCCAAACCATACCTCACCACCTTCCACCCGTCCTCCTGCAATCAACCCCACAGCCCCACCTCCCATCCATCTTCCCCGCTACTCCATCCTCGTCGCCTTCAACACCCGTCTCCTCCCCTTCGCACTCTTCACCATCTTCCTCATCACCGGCACCGTAATCCTCATCTATTCCGTCGTCGACAAACGCGTCATCCCTTCATCCTTCATCGCGGGCACCTATATAACTATTGCTGTTATTATTCTTATATGGTGTTTATCACGTTTCATACTTTTTCTTAGAGATAATTTCGGGGAGCTGGGAGTTGGAGTCGATGAAGTGGAGACGGGGGTGCGGGGTGTTGATAGGGTGTATATAGGAGGATTGCGGGGGAGGGAGAGGGAGAAATCTCGAGGTGAGGGAGAGGAGGTTGTAAAGCATGGTCTAAGAAATGATCGAGAGGTTGTGAGACAAGAATCGCAAGCTGCCGGGGAGGGGAGCGAATTGAGGGATTTTGGGAGTCATGATCGAGATTCTCGGATAGCTCATTCGCGGCCTGTACTCCCATCTTTTGAGCGTCTCTCGAACGCACCAGTCCATCCTTTCAAACCCAAACCCCAGAATCAACCAAATGATCTAGATTCCCATAATCCGATCAAACCACGCGCTACATCTCCCCACCAAACTCCAATCAGCAACCAAAGAACTCCCGTTCCCCCTCCCCCTCTCCAAGAGCCCCCAAACCATCGAGCACCAACCCCGAATTCCCTAAATCCCACAATCACTACCTCCCCCGACAAATTACCAGTAAACCACTCCTCACTATCCAATCCCACCCAACCCAACTCCCACACAAAAGAATCTCGAGACGTCACATCTCAGACTCGCTTAACACCTCACATCTTACCATTATCTCTACAGATTAATCCTGGGTCGAGGAATTCTGTGAACTCTGTGAACTCTGTGAGCTCTGTATCGAGGCCTCGAGAAGCGAAAGTGACGAGACCGCTTTTGCAGAGTTCGTGAGGGTTGTGAAGGTAGGGGTTGGATTTGGATTTAGATTTAGGTTTTAATGAGGGTTGAGCTTGGGGTGATTTGAGATTGGGTTGGGGATTGTGAAATATGTTGAAGGAGGTAGGTGGGTAGGTAGGTGTATATTACAATCCCCTTGAAAGTATCTACATCTATACATCCTCCAAACATTCAATATATTTCTCATATCTTATCATCTCCATCCATCCATCACCCATCCCCCATTCTCACCCCATCAACTAAACCCACACTTATCCCCATTCTCTCGTTCATTCAAGATCCTCCACTCTATATACACTCGTCTCAACTTCTCAACCTTTCAACCTTCAATACCCCAATACCACCCATATGACAATGAAAGCTTTCTATGCATTCCCTCAAAACTGACTTGGTACGCCTGTAACCCAATACCACAATTCACACATTCTCAGATCTCAATCGACTTCTCATTTGCGGAATTATTTAAGATGTAAGAAGAAAGGAAGGATTTTCACATATCTGGATATAGTTAGTTGAACAATCAAGTAGCTAACCAACACATAATATAATAATAACATAGGAAGTTTTAGCATCTACAATCTGCTTAGTCTCATCTAGTCTAGGAAGATAGGTAGATAGATAGATGCATAGAAAGATATCTAGACTCATAGACTCATAATAAAAAAAGTCAACAAATTCGATATAAAAACCCTAAATGTTTTTTGATCCTACTCTTCGTCAATTGTATATATCAAAGATCTCTTATAGATATTTGTATATCTTTATTATAAAAACCAAAAGGAATAGAGAAAAAAAGTAGGAATACAACAACTCCAGTACCAGTATCAATCACTTACGTATCCCCATCCCTCTTTCACACCCTTAAATTCATGACCCCTCCAGATACAAACACAGACACACATCTGAACCCCACAAACCCATAAAACACTCGTCCACCTCTACAATCAACTCTAGATTTATATTTGCATCTCAATTCCGATCCCACGAATTTCACATCTGCACTACATCTTGCGAGACAATGACAGCGACAGAATGGGAATGGGAATAGAGATGAGAACAGGGATAGGAATAGGAATAGGGATAGGAATAAGAGCATCGGAGCATTGGAGTATCCAAGTAGAGTGATGAATGAGGTATAGATATTCCTTCACTTTGTTCTTCTTCATTTCCGTTTCCGTTCCACTTGAGATGGGGACAAAGTTGAAGAATAAGAATGATATCAGAAGATGCAGGAACAAAGACATTCTTACGGAATCGAACGTGCCTAGGCTAATAGACGGTTCCATCAGCCCGCTCAAACACATCATATTCATACACGCAGTAAGAGGCTCAAGCCAACATTGCATCGGAAATCTAGAATATATTTATTCTTTTATATCGATAGATATCGCTCATTCCGAGTGCAAACAAGCAAGTTCCACAAATCCTTCTGCGCTATCAATCTCTGTCACGAGTATCAACTCCTTCTGTGAACCGTATACGTAGACATATAATCCTCACTTATTTCCCAATTCTCCTCTCCCACAACCTGACGCCCTTTGTACCGTCGGATTCCAATACGCCAAGCTTCAGATCTTTCCAATTCCGTACCCTAAATACTCCACCATTCATAACCATATGCGCATACTCAAAGAATGTCCAGACCAAAAGAGTGATAATACCAAATTCCCAAACTCAAACAAGGGTAGGCTTCTCCTCACCGTACCCTGTATACCCCATCTTGACATCACCGCCAACAACCGGCAAAACCTCTTCCCTTCCGTTTCTCCCACCATTCATCAATTTTTCATTCTGTGGAGTATTTGTCTCCCTTTCTTCCCTTTTCTTTCTCCCTAATTTTTCGCACCATTCTTCTGCACTGACAATCGTCCCATCCAAAACTCCTGATACTTGAGTCATCATGTCCAAACCCTCTTTTGCCAATACCATGACTCTTTGTGCACCCTCCTTGGCATCACTATCTCCATCCCGATGACTTCTGCTTTCACCATTTGAAACAGAATTTGCAATTTGAAATCGTCGAGGTAAAGATGTCAAGTGCTTACGTACGAGATCTCTAGCGTTTTCGGGAAGAGCACCACCAGCATATTTAGAGACAATATCTACTACCTCTTTCAAAGTCTTTAAGACGTCCTTGTTCAACTGCGCAATCTTTGCAGTCAGGGCTGAGCGCTGATCATCTGTGTGAAGCACTATTTGACGTTGATTATTGTCATCTCCTTTTTCGGAATAGGGGGTGTCAGCAATGGTACCAGAATTGTCGTATTGTTCTAAGACTGCCTTTAATGCCACAATGAGTTTCCCTATGTGTTCATTTGCCCACCGAATCCAACTGAGGCAGTATTTTAGACTTCGGAGCGACTCTTCCGACATTGCGACACTAAGTCCCGAGGTCGACAGAACGAGTCGAGATTGCCATGAGCTGCCAGGTGATACAGATTCTTCAGATCTTCGATTGGATGGTACTAGTGCTTGCTGTGAAGCTTCGTAGCTAGGACTACGTTGATCATCATATGCAGGAAGGCTATCTGTGGTAGAAGCTTGGCTAGGCCGACGGCGGCGCTGCTGATCAAATTGTACTTCAAACTGCATGGGCTGACCTTCGAGGTCGGCCGGAGAAGAAGTATTGACTTTCCGTCGCTTATGAGAAGGGGAATCGGATTCGGTGTCGGATGGTCCATGATGGCTCGGCCGGCGACCACCAAGGAACCAACGTACACCCCCTTCAACTCCAGTAATACGGTTGACAGAATTAATTGTATTGACAACCGGAGTAATCCTTCTTTCCACGTATTCTGCACTAGACTTGAAACGTGGACTATAGTTTTTGGAAGCCGAGTATGCGGATAGTGACCCACCTATCGCATTACCAATGAGGGGGTGGGATGTGGTAAGGAGTGAGAGGAGGGGTTCTGGTTGTGTAGAACCACCTTGTCGAAATCGAGGTGAATTTGAAGAGGGAGCAGTACGCTGACGGGGGGAAGACTGTATGAAGTCTACAACAAAATTAGCAAAGAATTCTCTCGAAAATTCTTTGTAGAACATACCGGCGCGAAGATCTCCCAATGCCTCGGCAGCAAGTCGCACATCAGGATCATCTATGGATAATACACTTCCACCCCTCCTTGCTCTGTTATCTGATAAATCTAAGTCCATACCGTTCGGCGAATCTGTACTCCTTCTAGTCGTTGTTTTAGGAGAGAGTTGTGAGGGGCCCGGTTGATAATATGCTGTTAGAGGATTTGAAGACGGCCATGTCAATGGAGCTTCTGCGACTGAATCTTGCCGATATTTTGATTCTGTAGACATTGGAGGTAGAGGGGGCAAGACTCGCTCATGATGAACCGGTGGGGGGTCTGCTGGGGGTACAGAGGGCAAACTTATGGATTGAGGGTCGTGAGATGCGTAGGATGGGGGGCATTCCCTTAACATGTGATCGTGTTCCATTTCGATATCAAACGCCGACGGCTGTATGAAAATTGTTGGAAATTGATTGTAAGTGATGAGACTAGATGATTAATACTTGGCGTATGTGTACCGCTGAAAAAAGAACGAAATTTGTCGAGGTTCCAAGGGGTTTGTACTCGTCGAAGTGGTGAATATTCTGGGAATTTTTTGCTTGTGATACGATGATCTTCCAATGTTGTAAGAGAGTACTTTGATAGAAACAAATGAAATAAAACAGAATGATTTCCTCAGACTCGGATGATAACAAAACTTCCAATCCAGTTGAATGGTATATTCTCTTTTCTTTCTCTTTCTCTTTCTCTTTCTCTTTCTCTTTCTCTTTCTCTTTCTCTTTCTCTTTCTCTTTCTCTTTCTCTTTCTCTCTTCTCCCCTTTCTGTTTAGTTGTATACGATCCCAGATTTTACATGGCGCAAAACAATCGTGTGAAGTTCGGGGACGATGTAGATAATCGTAGAAAAAGCATTCACATGTGACCATCTTGAGTGCTTTTGGCTGGTTCGGTAAAGGCGAATTCATGGTGGGTGTCGGAATTAATTGGAAGTGTGTTCCTATAACCTTAATTAAGGATTGAAATTGTCGATGCTTTGGGAAAATTCTGGTCAAACGATGGATGGATGGATGGATGGATGGTCTTGGAGATGTATAATATAGCAAATACATCAGCGGCGTGGCATTGGTATTGAAGATGTTTTGTATGGAACCATGTCACCATTGGTTTCATGAGTTCATCATGAGAGGAAAGGAATGTACGAAGTATTCTTCCCGCATTCCACAAGTCATCCATCTCATACTGCCATTGTACGAGATACGCTCAGCCAACTATCATCAATAACTTCACTCAAGAGCAGGTCTCACATATGGAAAGCCGATTGCACGAGGTTGATGTCGCTGGCATGGCTTTGCCATCTTGGATTGTATATGTACATTGCCACCAAATAAGCAATCCTCCTTAACTTCATATGTTTGGTCCCTCTGACGCCGCCCAGGCAACCTGTTGTCCCAAAAGACAATGCCCGGCCAGCTCTTATGGTACCGTTGGTATTGGTCTCCGCGCCGCGAAATCGCTAACTACATCAATGGGAAACAAGATGAGTATCAACAGAATGTTGACACAAGTTATATTTATGTGATTGAGTTGCACTGTCTAAAAGGGCGCGTTGAAGAAAAAAGAAGAAGTTTTTCTTTCAACTGAAAGATATTTAACCTTTGAAGATTCTGCCACTTTCAGGCTAGTCCATTTTAAGTTTAGTCTCGTCTTTACTAAGGGAAATCGATGTTGACCGCCGAGACTCACTAGCTTGGGACCTGGAGATCTATCAATCCGAAGGGGGAAGCTTGAACGTGGGGCTATTATTACTTACTATTATTCAAATGAACAACACCTACAAGGCAACTAATGGCAACTAATTCATCAATTCCAATTCAAAAGATCAAGAGGAGTTCATATTAATTTCACGAATGACAGCAAATTCTTTCAAGATATAACACAAGCCAACTTGGCACATACTCTCCATCCTTCAATACCATCGTCTCCTTTCTTTCTTTGATTATCTGGCAAATATGGCATCTGCTGTCTTCTTCCTCGATTTGAAGGGCAAGGTATAAACAATACTTTCTATAGTGCCTTTACTTTGGAATCATGTTGACGCAATACCACAGACCCTTCTTGCTCGAAATTATAGAGGAGATATTCCGATGTCCGCTGTTGAAAAGTTTCCAATACTGTTGAGCGAAGCAGAAGAAGAGAGTTCCGCCGTTCCACCATGTTTCTCAGACGAAGGAATAAATGTATATCACCCACTCCTATTTGCGATCGCACTTTTTAACTTGTACCAAGTATCTATATATCCGCCATAACAATCTCTACCTCCTAGCCCTCACCAAACGTAATACAAATGCCGCCGAAATCCTCCTTTTCCTACACAAAATAGTCGAAGTCTTCACCGAATATTTCAAAGAGCTTGAAGAAGAATCCATTCGAGATAACTTCGTCATTATTTATGAACTCTTGGACGAAATGATGGACTTTGGATATCCACAAACTACCGAATCGAAAATCCTTCAAGAATATATTACACAAGAATCACACAAATTAGAGATTCAAGCCCGTCCACCTATAGCGGTCACGAACGCAGTATCATGGAGATCGGAAGGAATTCGGTACAGGAAGAACGAAGTTTTCCTTGATGTGGTTGAATCTCTCAATTTACTGGTATCGTCGAATGGAAACGTGTTGAGGTCCGAGATTTTAGGCGCCATAAAGATGAAGTGTTACCTGTCTGGTATGCCAGAATTGCGATTAGGTCTGAACGATAAAGTAATGTTTGAAACAACGGGACGCGCAACTCGAGGGAAAGCCATCGAGATGGAAGATGTGAAGTTCCATCAATGTGTCCGTCTTTCACGATTTGAAAACGATAGAACTATCTCCTTTATTCCGCCCGATGGAGAATTCGAATTGATGTCATACCGTCTGAATACTCAAGTCAAACCATTGATCTGGGTTGAATGTATCGTGGAATCGCATTCTGGATCAAGAATCGAATATATGTTGAAAGCGAAAGCGCAATTTAAACGTCGTAGCACAGCCAACAACGTCGAGATTACAGTTCCAGTACCAGAAGATGCCGATTCCCCACGTTTCCGTACAAATATTGGATCCGTACATTACGCACCAGAAAAGTCGGCGATAGTATGGAAAATCAAACAATTTGGAGGAAGTAAAGAATTCCTTATGAGAGCGGAGTTAGGATTACCGAGTGTGAAGGGTGATGATGAACATGGAGGTGGAATGACTGGAGGATTCGGCGGAAGTATGGGCGGTGTTGGAGGTAAAGGGGCAAAGAGACCAATCAGTGTAAAATTTGAGATTCCTTATTTCACGACAAGTGGCATTCAAGTCAGGTACCTGAAGATCATTGAGCCAAAGGTTAGTCCTCATTTTCAAAAATTTGTCCAATTTCTGTCTAACATTTTCGATAGTTGCAATACCCATCCCTTCCCTGGGTTCGCTACATTACCCAATCAGGTGATATAGCAGTCAGACTCCCTGATGTAAGCTAAGACTACTGAGATTATTTTCGCATCGATATTTTCACAATCGTAAAAACTTCCTTGGAATGGAAAAGATAAGACAGATAGATTGGGAGGTAGGGAGGAGTGTAGCCATTCATTCTGCATTATCAGGCGCCAGTGCTATGGTCCGGGGTTGGACTTGTTTTTGATGAGATAAATACTACCTTTTTTTTTTCCGCCTTATCTTGGCCCGATCAAATTTTGATAATTCTATTAGCTGTCTCTATGACTTTTTGCATGATAGTCAAGGCTACTTCAATGCTTGTTGGAATCATGCTGAAATTGTTTACTGCATCCATGTATAACATTTCATTAATGCCTAGGTGATGGATGTGATATGAAGAGATCTCTACATGCAAGTGTTATGATTCGATGAGAGCGTGAGCTTTGGACCTTTGATTTCAATCGCAAATAGTGTAATTCGGGGATGATGGGATTTTGGTATGTGTGATAGGTTCTGAGAAGCACGCACGCACGTGTGCCGCAATCATCTTAGAAGACATCATGATTTGGTAGAAGAGTTGCTCAAAGTGTACGAGTTCTCCACTGTCCCGGTGATCTTTTTGGCTCGAGGAGTTTTCGCGGAGGGCTTGAAATGACTAGTATGTAGTTAGAATGAGGAATTGTTCGAGAGGTTGTATGGGAGTTGTAAATTCATGGGGCTTGCATGGGTTTTGAGTAGAGGTTTTTTGTGGGGGATATAGAATGATTGCTGTGTGATTGATATACTCGGAATCATTGGGGTGGAGATGCTGTATGAGTGGTAAAGCTAAAAGATTTCTTTATAAAAAATCTATTTCTTCAACCAGAACTCGTCATTGACGATACGGAGTGACTGTTGTGTATATTCTGAATCATTCGACATGCTATGTGAGTAGCAAACCGATCGTTCTTATAGGAATTTTGAATAAATTTGTCATTAAGTTGTAAAGCCAATATTTTTTACACATTTTCCTGGGTCGGAATTCATCATTGAGGATGCGGAATCACTGATAAATTTATACTCGGAATCATTCGAGATACTATTAGTGAACAGTAAAGTCCTAGTTTTTATAGAACTTTTAACTAAATTTGTCACTAGGAATATTAAACCACTGCTATATATATATCTACCTATTTATAATAACTTGATACACTATATATAAATGGTAAAGCTACTATTTCTCATACATTTCTTGGCTAAAACCCGTCATCGAGAATCTTCAATGACAGCTATATGCACTCGGAATCATTCGAAGGTCTTCATATATCTCCTTGTCCCATGTTTTTAACGGTTTGCTCATGCAACCCAAGTTATGAATTCCCCAAGTGACTTCTCAATCATACAAATGCTGTGTTTCACACTCATTCGTATGTATTTTGAAAGGTTTAAAAGCGATGAACTCTTTATATACCTCCCTATCCCATGTTTTCCACATTTTCTCTTTGCAACTTAAGTCCTCAATCCCTTGAATGAGTTGCTACTCATACAAATGCCGTATTTCATACTCATTCGTATGTATTTGGGATTTTTGAAAATGATTACTTCTTTATTTATCTCCTTGTTTCATGTTTTCCACGTTTTCCTTGTGCGATCCACGTCATAGTCATCCAAAAATGATTTCTCACTCATACAAATACTCCATTTCACACTCATTCATATATATTTTGAGAGCTCTTGAGCGATCAGAAAGACATAAATAGTCTCGATACCCCCTTCGTTTCGTAGAGTCTTTTTCAGAGTATCAAGATAGCTACGATCAAACTTTGCACAGTACATCATCAAGAATCACAGTTTCTTTTCGATAGTCCTATGCATTTGCAAATCTCACGAAAATTCAACGAGTTTCGATAAGCTTCGATATTCTTTGCTCCCTACGAGAATTGATGAATATACTGTACATTATGAATCTAACTTCCGGAAATACTAGTGGAAATAGAGGAAGTGAAGGTGGTCAGTCCTCCAATCTTGAGTCAAATCCAACTGCGGAGCAAGCAGGAGGACAATGGCAATGCCAAATGCCATTACCATTTCCCCTTGCGATGTTCAGTGTTCGTCTTCTCTTTTCCTTCTTTCCTGCTCAATGAAATCTGTTTAACATTCTTTATATAGTGCGACCATTGGAATAAACCCAACGTAATAACATGCGAAGCCCCGGAGAGAAACCCCTTCAACGATGTTCACCTAAAGAACCCAGGGAGAGATCTCGGATGCGGTAGACAAAGGGTCGACGGATTTTGGAGGCTGGGAACCCACGTCAATAGATTAAATCTCTTTTATAGAAAGATAGAGCAGATTCCTGACCTCGGCTGGGTTGTTTTGAAAGATGGTAGGCGTGTTAACGGCAGGGATGAGAGATAGGAAGCGGGTTTTTATCAACATATTCGATATTTGACTTTTCGATATCTGGTATATTCACTTCAGCCCACAGTCATCTTTTTAATATGATCTGCATCTGAGCTCACATTCGCCGACTTTGACTTACACAGGCCATCTTGTTAATGGCTGTCCAGGCAGATTCAATCAACCGATCAACCCCAATACCGACAACTTACCTCGTTCTCTTTCCATTGTTCCATCTCAACCGGATGGTTTTTTTTCCCTGCGCGATTTCTTTGCAGCTATTTTCCTCTTCGATTTATTTTTGAATACACCAGTTTTCTTCCACCACATCACAATTCCACTGCAACGAAGACTCGGTAACATCCTTTTACAACAACTTCTATTTCTATATTTTCTAGTTCTATTATCCTCGCATAGTTTTGACGGCGGTCCATTAAACGCATCCATTCATTCTTTTCGAACATCGACTCCAATCTTTTCTTTATTTTCTTAGGCTGGTTGTTGAATGTCGATACTCATTTCATTTCTATCTTCCTTTTCTAAATCTTCGACCTTGCTTATATGGTCTCGAGATTAAATCAAATACTCTATTTTTAGGCTACCTCTATTTTGAGCTATTCTTTATTATTAAAAATCTCAAAAAATGAAATTTTTAATTTTCTTATTTATAAATAGAATTTATTAAAAATTTGTATATATATAATTCAAATCGTTTTGAATCTAATTTAAAAAATTTAGATTTTTAGGATTTTTTTATATTAAAATTTAAAGTTTTAAAATATCGATTTTTTAATTTATATAAGAATTATATATAAATTTAGAACTTTTATAAAATCTTTAATAACTTTTTAATAATAATTATTAAAAGAAAACTATATATCTTTTTGAAAGTTTTGAGCTTAAATCTATATAGAAATTTTAAATTTTTTTTTTTAAAAAATTAATAGATATAGAGATATAGTATATAGTGAGTTTAAAATAGTATAAATAACCCCTGTAATTTTGAGGGTATTCTTTGTTACGGGAGCTGCCTCTAGGGTCACGTGGAAGTGTCTAGAGATCTCTCGAGGTGGTTTAGACTAGACTTCAAGTAGGAATTCAATAAGGTTGTAACTGGTTGCAATTCTCGTAACTATAGTAATGAAACTAATGATTGTTCTTGAGCACGAAGCTCTACATGTAAGGAAACCCTTTCCCTTATATAGACCTTTGCACTCTGCGATCCCATCGATCCCACTCACTGAGAGTAGTGGGCGTAGTGGGATCCCACTGATCCCATTGATAATAATCGGTGGGACTGATGGGATGGTCCATCACGTGATACTAGTCCCGTGAGTCTTGTCGTCCTGTCTTATTTCCTGTCCTAGGGCTAATCCCTTGGGAGCTTACTAATCCTAGCAAGACCTCTCTTGCTTACTGTGTCCTGTATTGCTTATTCTTCTTAGGACCCTACTGTCCTAGGAACCATGTCCTATGATTCAGTGTATTCTATAACTAATACTATATACATGCCTGAGGCTTTCCTTGGGTGCCTAGTGTCCCCCGGTATACTGCAGCTGAATCACTGAGGCCTATAATACCATTATAGCCTATAAGTCAGTGATTCTACAGCCTGTTACTAATCCGTTGTAACATTCTTTTAAATATCTATTTATAGGAAATTTTCTTTTTTTTTCTAAATCCTTCAAAATAAATATGTTATAAATTTATAATAAAATTTTATAATTTATTTTTAATAATTTTTATTAAAAAGTTATTAAAGATTTTATAAAAGTTTTAAATTTATATGTGATTCCTATATAAATTTAAAAATCGATATTTTGAAGTTTTAGATTTTAATATAAAAAAATCCTAAAAATCTAAAAATTTCAGATTAGATTCAAAACGATCTGAATTATATATATATAAATTTTCAATAAATTCTATTTATAAATAAGAAAGTTAAAAATTTCATTTTTTGAGATTTTTAGTGATAAAGAGTGGTTCAAAATAGGGGTGGCTTGAAAATAGAGTATCTAACTTAAAGGGTAGATTAAAGCTCGAATTAAAGTTTTAAATCTAGGTCTATATGGCATTCATTCATTCACTCGTTTCTCCTTTGTTATTACATGGCCTTTTACATAATCCGCTGAGATGATAATTCGATTTTCATATTTATCTCGATACTCATGCTTACAATTGGTTCTCAACACAATCATTCAATATGGAAGGAGTTATTGCAGCGAATTGTTACGATGGTCTGCCACAATAGACGTCACGTGACCCCGACGCTTAGGTAACCGGATCAGAGGGATCATTAGTGATCCAGTTGATCGGATCAGAGGGATCATTTGTGATCCGACTGAGCACAGAGAACGAAGGTCTATATAAGGGAATGGGTTTCATTACAATGTAGAGCTTCGTGCTCAAGAACAATCATTAGTTTCATTACTATAGTTACGAGAATTGCAACCAGTTACAACCTTATTGAATTCCTACTTGAAGTCTAGTCTAAACCACCTCGAGAGATCTCTAGACACTTCCACGTGACCCTAGAGGCAGCTCCCGTAACACTTTGAGCACCATTTCTGCTTCAAGTACCAATTCAATACCAACCGACGATATGACACCCACCAGTGCATCCGCGAGCAGTCAGGCACAAGCACCCGACACCGACGATGTCGAGATGACCGACGCTCCCAAGGAAATTACCATCAACGAAACACTCAAGATTGCCTTACCAGACAAATACCAAGGAAGTCGACAGGAACTCGACACCTTCCTCTTACAACTTGAAATCTACTTCAGATTCAACGAAGACAAGTTCACCGAAAAGGAATCCAAGAGTGTATGGGCTGTATCATATCTCAGAGGAGAAGCAAGCAAGTGGATTCAACCATATTTACGAGACTATTTCGAGCATGACGACCAGGATCGCATGCAACCCACTCGAACAATCTTCAATAGTTTTGAAGGATTTAAGACAGAGATTCGTAGAATCTTCGGGAACTCCAATGAGCTAGAGGTAGCGGAAGATAAGATCTTCAGCCTCAAGCAGACAGGATCAGCATTGAAGTATGCTACGGAATTTCGAAGATATGCGGGGACAACTAAATGGGACAAGGTCGCCATCATGAGTCATTACCGTAAAGGACTCAAACCAGAAGTACGTTTGGAACTTGATAGGGAAGGGGAGGACGATGACTTGAACGGACTAATCAAAAGCTCCATCGATGCCGATGACCGACTATACAGGTACAAACAAACCCAACGATCATACAAGCCTCAGACAAATCATAGGCAAGGGCGCTACCGCAAGAATGAGGGTAGACCACGTTACAGTACACAGAGTTACGGGGACCCCATGGAACTAGACGCCACGCACCACAGGAACGGGAATGATGATCCAGAGAAAAGACGAAGGCGAGAAAACAACTTATGCTTTGAATGTGGAAAAGCAGGGCACCGGGCAGCGGATTGCCGAAGTAAGAAGACAGGAGGAAAGAAAGGCAACTTCAAACCCAAGTTCGGCAAAGGCCAACTTAACGCTACCTTTGTATCCCAGGAACATCCAGCTAAGACCGAAGAAACTGAGACCTTCACCAGTGAAGAATTCCGGAAATTATTGGATGAGTTACCGCGAAACCAAGAGGGTATGAATGCAGTAGACTTGTGGGAACAGGAGTACTACCGAACCCCATCACCGTCGGTAACGGAAGAATGTATTAAGGAAGAGATACCAGCAGATCACGCGATGATGAGCTGGACTGCTTGCTATGATGAATTCTGCGGAATCCATCGATCAGATAAAGAAGCAACCGGATGGTTCCCCAAGAAAAGAAAGACAAGGAACCAACAATCCAATGAAACAGACAAAAAACAAGTTACCCAGCAATTGAATGCTACAGGAAAAGCAGGACAGATATACTGCAAGGTCAAAATAAACGGACAAATACAGCAAGCCATGATAGATTCAGGGGCTACAGGAAACTTTATTGCACCAGAAGCTGCAAAGTACTTGGGAGTCCCACTCCAGAAGAAACAAAACCCCTACCAATTGCAGTTAGTTGACGGACAACTAGCAGGATCTGACGGGAATGTTTCACAGGAGACACGACCAGTACAAATGAACATAACCCAACATTCAGAGGTTATACAGCTTGACGTTGTGCCATTGGGCCAACAACAGATCATCTTAGGGATGCCATGGTTGAAGGCACACAATCCTAAGATAGATTGGTCACAAGAGACAGTGACATTTGATCAGTGCAAGAACGGTCACGACGACACGTTCAAGGCGTCCGCGAGACGTAACACGCGCCAAGGGGAGTTGAACGCGAACAACTTCGGTGACGTAGGACACCCAGTCCAGGGTCCTCCATTAAGAGCGAAGGCCAGTACACCTCCTCTACAAATGCAGAAGCCAACGACACGGCAGGAAATCGCAATCAAGGCAGAAGAGCCTATGATACCAGAACAGTACAAGAAATACGAACATGTGTTCAAGGAACCAGGGATCCATGAGGCTTTGCCAGAACACAAGCCATGGGATCATGAGATAATATTGGAGGAAGGCAAGATGCCTGTGCACACCCCAATTTATTCAATGTCAGCCGATGAGCTAAAGACGCTCAAAGAATATATCGACGACAACTTGGCCAAGGGATGGATCAGAGAATCCACGTCCCAAGTGGCAAGTCCAACTATGTGGGTACCTAAGAAAGATGGTACTAAGAGACTAGTTGTGGACTACAGAAAGCTCAACACGCTTACAAAGAAAGATCGATATCCACTTCCATTAGCTACGGAATTAAGAGATCGGTTAGGCGGAGCAACAATATTTACTAAGATGGACCTACGAAACGGGTACCACTTGATTAGAATGAAGAAAGGCGAGGAATGGAAAACCGCTTTTAAGACAAGATACGGGCTATACGAATATCAAGTTATGCCCTTCGGGCTAACGAACGCACCAGCTACTTTCATGAGACTTATGAACAATGTGCTGTCGCAATATCTGGACACCTGTTGTATATGCT